TTCAATGGGAAATCAGGGTATAATGGCTTTGTGAAAAAGTATGTAACGGACAGAAGGAATCATCGCAGACGCCATAAAGTATATATATTCTTGATCAGGGCGACGAGCTGAGTAGATTTGGGCCTGTCCGTCTGTCCGTATGTTTGAACGCGTCGATTTCAGAAGATATAAGAGCTAGAGACTTCAATTTTTATACCCTGAACCCATTTTCAATGGGAAATCAGGGCATAATGGTTTTGTTGAAATGTATGTAACAGGCAGAAGGAGGCGTGGCAGACCCCACAATGTATATATATTCTTGATCAGGGCGACGAGCTAAGTTGATTTGGCCCTGTCCGTCTGTCTGTCTGTCCGTATGTTTGAACGCGTCGATTTCCGAAGATATAAGAGCTAGAGACTTGAAATTTTTTTTAGATGACCGTATATACAGCGCGGATGTCGAGTTTGCTTTTAAAATTCGAAAAATCATCCCGTTATGTTTTTATCGAATAAAAACATTCAAGTTCAAGTCAGATGCCACTATAGCTAATTGTGAATGATTTTTAATTTTTTTTAATTTCTCAAATATTCAATATAATATGTAGATCATATGCTGAAAGTTTCATTAAATCCCGTTTAGTTAAAAATTAATAAAAAATATTCAAATATTTGGCCAATTAACAAACGCACGTGCAGCAGCCTCAACAGACTCGTATACGTGAGCACACATACATTCAAACTTCTTCCAGAACATTCACATCAGCTGTTAGTTTGGTTTAGTTTTCGTAGATGGCACTGCAGCAGTGAATCTATTTCAGTTTTGCCAAATCGAATCCCAAGTGAGTTTTGTATTTCATTTATATTTTGAAATACATCGAAACTGACATTTTAGCCATACTAAATGGGCATTTTTATTAGTTGGGTTCAGGGTAGTATCTAGTCAAGCACTCTCGACTGATTTTCGATAGAAATCGAAAATCAGTTATAAAATTTTATCTCCTACATCTTTAAAGATAGAGTCTCCAAATTTTAAAAGTATACTTATATGCACTTCATACAATTTCGGGCTTTATTAAAATTTACCCCCCACCTCTATATCCATCCCCTCACCCTCACTTTTGTAAAAGGCGTATTTCAAATACTAGATACTTGTGCTTTGGCAAATACATGTACATATATCATAATCTAAAAGTTTCATGAAGATTGTATGTCCACAAAAAAAGTTATTAAACAATTCATTTCTCATAGTAAGCGCACACTGCAGCCCATGCGTGTTTAGGCGTGGGTGCTTGTGTGCGTGTATGTGTGTGTGTGTATGCGTGTGTGTGCGTGTGTCTTGTGTAAGCAGAAAGACGCGAATCATTATTGAAATAGCTATTAGGGTTCAGGGGATCTCGTAGTCGAGCAGTGTCGACTAAACCTTTCTTGTTTATTTTTATTTTATTTTTTTTTTTTTGACGCAACGACCTTACGATAATATTCAATGACGCAATGTACAATGAAGCATTGATTGCTATTGAGGATCTTTGGATTTTCATTGAGAATTCATCCAGTAGGCTTTTTAACAGTGACAGTTTTCGGTCATGCGCTTATGTTAAACAATTATTCATGCACATTTTATTAATACGTGAACTTAATAAATATACGTAAGGTAAGGCAAATAATGAGCATTCGAATACTATATTACGTCACTGTTTACCACCAAACAGTTTTTCAACTTGATTGATTTATGTTTGATTAATAGATAACAATGCCATGAAAACGCAAGGGGGTTAATTTGAGTCGTCGAACACTCAAATATAGAGGCATGCAAGATAGCAGAGCACAAAGATCAGATGAGAAAGGCAACAAAGCAATGCAGATGTCCGTGTGAGCATGGCGCAGTTACGTGCATCACAATTGCAAGAGGCACGAGATGAGCGAAACCAGCAAAGACAATTAAGACGAAAAGACGTAGAGAAATAGACCGCCAACGTCAACAAGTACTTCGAGCATTTACATCACATTTATTTCTTCACCTAGCATTTCAGTATGAGCCTGATGTTAAATATTACGCTCATTCCAATGTGGCCATTGGTACATTGGACAAGGAATGACCGCACTGACTTGCCCTTAAATTTAAAAATGACTATGAAAATGAAAGGAAATCAAATCAAATAACGATCACCATAAGGCAGAACAACCTCATCTAGATCACGGTCTTGTCATCACTTTAGGCCAACCCAAACACGCCGTTTAAGTCATGGACCCGACGGAATGTATGCGCAATGCGTCAGCTAAAATCAACCTGCCGACAATCCGGCGAGCTAGTGACGAGCATAGCAAGAGTGCGCACCTCGAAGCCTTCTGTACGCCATAGAGCAAACCTGTATCTAAAATCCACAGGCTACATACAACGTTTTCGTCGAGAGAATTGCAGCTAGGTAAACCCGTACACTACAATTCTTCGCTGTTCTTGCAGTCAAATCGAAAATTCAATTTATGTTTTAAAATGACATCGTTTGGAGCAACGGAAATAGTTTAAAATACTGCTGCAAATGGTGAAAAATTTAATTCCACATTCAAAACCAAAGGCCAAGTTTACCACCAAGTCTGTTCATTGCTACCAATTCCAAACAAACCTTATACATTTTTACAAATTTACTTTATGAGTGGCAAACCATTACTTGTTTCGTTACTTCTTGCCGAGATACAAGCAAAAAAAAAAGGTATGGCATTAGCCGTTTGGCATTGCAGCTACTTTATACGATGGAGGCAGAACACGTCATTCGGCATTGAAGATGCCACTGAACATTCAAAATAATCCAGATGCAGTTTGTAACAAGTAAGAAGGCTCCAGTCGAGACTGCTCGACTAGGAGATACCCTGAACCCTCCAAACTGATATTCTAATCATTCTGGACCTCTTTTATGCACACATACATACACATGCACGTATAAGCACGCGCTCTGCAAACTGCGCAGCTAGCAGCGGCTGCGCTTGGGCTGCACTGCAGTGTGGGCAATATTATGAGAATTTATTTGTTGAAAAATTTCTTTTGTAGACATACGATCCTAATGAAACTTTTAGAGCGTAATCATATGGCTAAAATGTGTGTACATTCCAAAGAACAAGTCTCTAGTACTTGAAATGCGTTTTATACAAATTGGGGGCGAAGGGGGCGTGGTATCCAAAATCTGTAAATTACAAAATCTTTGTATCTATTAACTTAACAACGCAAATTTGAAGTCTCCAGGTCTAAAAGTGTTCAAATTAAGCTGAAAAAACAATGTCGATTTTTCGATTATTCTCGATAAAAAAGTTATCGGACAAGTTATCGAAAAAATAAAGCAAACTTGTACTGCCTATGGTATACACGAGTATGCATGCCAAATTTCAGCTCTCTAGCTCTTATATCTTCTGAGATCCTTTTGCTCATACGGACGGACGGACGGACGGACGGACGGACAGACGAACAGGGCTATATCGACTCAGCTCGTCGTCCTGATCAAGAATATATATACTTTATGGGGTCTGAGATGATTCCTTCTGCCTGTTACATACTTTTCACAAAACCATTATACCCTGATTTCCCATTTTCAATGGGTTCAGGGTATAAAAAACAATCATCCATTGCCACTGTTCTGAAACAGTGTAAAATTATTATCTGGGATGAATGCATTTATAAAAGAATCATAATCAATAAACATTTATTTTTATGTATTTAATAAATCATTATTTTGAATATTAATGTGTTTCTTTTACTTTAATACCCCTTCAGAAAATCCATTAGCCATGATAGAGAACAATATGGCATTGTTCTAATATGTGTCTGTGCATTGTTTATTATTAATGGACGAGGAGGCTGTATTTCTCAATTGACCGAAGTCGATGAGTTAGTTTGACTGAGTCAGTCTTGCTGTTACCAAATTGGGTGATTGTGATTTTGCTCCTTATGTCAAATCATAAAAATAGTCAGAAATATTTGCATATTATTTAGCAAATACACAGATAGTCTTTTATTAAAAAGCAGGTGACTATGGAAGTTTTTCCGAGCAATCTATTCGAGTGCTTATAAACAATCTACTTATAACATTTACTCATATTACCTTATGAATTTCGTCAGCGATTTTTAAGAATGTTTTTCTATATTCACTGAAGGGTAAAAGCAATTCTTGTATAGCTAAGAAGCATTAATATATTAAATATTCAATTTTGTTTGCAAAACTAAACAAATTTCAAATTATTTATCATTTTAAGATTATGAAAATATGTTTCCTAATTTGAAAGTATTTTCCCCATTCGGAATATTTATTTGGAATGACTTATCATAGGGCATTACGGCTTCTATGGTCAGGTGGTTCGGACGAAATATACATATACGTATATATATAGATAATGAACTGCTCACACAATTCTGCGATATAGCGCAGCTATTCGAAGTAGAGTTAAGAACAACGACGTCATCAAATATAGTTTCGTAATAATTTCTAATTAGATAATACAACATTTAGTCATGGGATTCTCTTTATTAAAATTTATATACTTAGTGATTAAATCATCGTTCCTAAGAGTCAAAAGAATGAAGATGCAAATTAATATTCTCATTAAAATATATTTCATTGCAAAAAAAAAACATAAAAAGCTTAGCAAACTGCTCTTAGTTAAACAACAGCTCGATGAATGTATAGAAATATGTATGTAACTAAAAGCGACTGAGAGAAAGTTAAGACGCACCGGAAAGTTAAGTATAATTTATGAGCAGATAGAGATATCGGTAATATATAAAGCTTAAGATCGGTTTCGCGTTAGAGCAAAAAATACAAAAAATTACAAAACTTTTGCGATAGCAGACGTAAATACATATGTACATACATAGCTTGACTGATTTGATAATTATTTATTGTTCGACCCGTATACTAGCGCTCGGCACTGCCTAACGACCCAATACAATATTTCAAGGTCGCTGGCAGTTATATGATTTGAATTTTATGGAAATAAAAATATCCATTTCTTTTTCCTTTACAAATGGGGAAGCTTACCATTTTGCTTGTCTCCTTAGCCATGACTATATTTAGTTATATGCGTGCCCCTTCGATTCGCAAATATTATTTGGAATATATTCACAAAAATTATTTCATAATTTTCACTTTCTATTTGTAGCTCGTGAAGACACGACTTGTTGGTTTACACAACTTTCTGTCAAATATTCTGCGACGCTCGATGACAAAAATGCGAATGAGTCTCGTAGCAAAGTTTCTTTTATGTTCTGCGTCTTATAGAGTGTCGAGTTGTCGAGGGCGAAAGCAAATCTCCGATAAGTGTGTTTGCCGTTGAGAGTATCAAAAGCGCTTGGGAGCGGCAGCCCCGTGATTATAAAAGAAACAGAAACGAGAGAGAGAGCGAGTGAGAGAGGAGAGCGATTACTAACAGAGTGTTAATATGAGTGAGAGCATGTGTGTAAGTATGTGTGTATGTGTGTGTACATTTACTTAAGGTACGTATGTATGTATGTACATATGTGTGAAATCTTTTGGTTGTTGCTACTGACCTTTCCCTTTGGCCACTCGCCGTGACCTTTTACACACTGTTCCCTCGCCTTTCGTGTCGAATAGGTGGTATAAACCGCACATGCACGCAGCATAAGCGCTAACACAGTGAACACAATAATTGCTAGTGACGTAACAAACTATCAGAGATTTAGTCATGTAGACTGTTTGAGGTTTGTATTGACAAGGTGTTAAATTCTTGATTTATCAACTTCAGTACAACATCGTCCAGAGCCTTGGAGTATGTCACGTAAGAATGTTGCAGACGGCAGCAAATTTTCTGACTGGAGTTTCTGGCTCTAAAACAGTAGAAAATACTGTTTTGGTTAGTTCTTAGAACGATTCAGAAGTAACTTAACTGTACAATTTGGATGCTTAAGTAGAAAATTTGAATGTTATAGGGTATTTTTCGATATGTCACAAATATTTTTGGGTCATCGAGGTTGTTAGTAAGTCTACTATCCAAATCTTCAAGCTCGTAGGAATTATATGCTTTTGCGGTTTGCCTTCTGTGGGCGTATATATGTATATGGGAACACTTTCCCATTTTCAATGGGAAATCAGGGTATAATGGTTTTGTTGAAATGTATGTAACAGGCAGAAGGAGGCGTGGCAGACCCCACAAAATATATATATATCTTGATCAGGGCGACGAGCTGAGTTGATTTGGCCCTGTCCGTCTGTCTGTCCGTCCGTCTGTCCGTCCGTCCGTATGTATGAACGCGTCGATTTCAGAAGATATAAGAGCTAGAGACTTCAATTTTTTTTTGAAATGTCCGTAATTACAGCGCACATATCAAGTTTATTATTAAAAATCGATAACTCATCCCGATCTTTTTTTATCGATAAAAAACCTTATCGAAAACCAGTTATAAAATTATATCTCCTACACCTTTATTGCTAGAGTCTCCAAACTTTTTATTTATGCTAATATGCAATTTATGCAATTTCGGTTTTTGTTAAAATTTACCCCCCACCCCCATATCCACCCCCTCACCCTCATGTTTGTAAAAAGCGTATTTCAAATACTAGAGACTTGTGCTTTGGCAAATACATGCATATCCATGCTGTTATTATGATCTAAAAGTGTCATGAAGATCGTATGTCCACAAAAAAATGTTATTAAACAATTAAGTTCTCTTGGTAAGCCAACACTGCAGCCCATGCGTGTTTATGCGTGGGTGCTTGTGTGTGTTTGTGTATGTGTGTGTGTATGTGTGTGTATGTGTGTGTGTGTATGTGTGTGTGTGTGCGTGTGTGTGTATGTATGTATGCCTGTGTGTGCGTGCGTGCGTGTGTGTGTGTGTGTGTGTGCGTGTTTCTTGTGTAAGCTGAAAGACGCGAAAAATTATTGAAATAGCTATTGCTCCAAGGGTTCAGGGGATCTCGTAGTCGAGCAGTCTCGACTATAGCTTTCTTACTTGTTATACCCTGAACCCATTGAAAATGGGAAATCAGGGTATAATGGTTTTGTTAAAAGTATGTAACAGGCAGAAGGAGGCGTGGCAGACCCCACAAAGTATATATATTCTTGATCAGCTGAGTCGATTTGGCCCTGTCCGTCTGTCTGTACGTCCGTCCGTCCGTATGTATGAACGCGTCGATCTCAGAAGACATAAGAGGTAGAGTCTTGAAATTTTTTTTCCTAGGTCCGTGTATATCACGCGCATATCTAGTTTTTCTCTATATATCGATAACTACTTCCGATATTTTATTATCGATTAAAAACCTTCTCGAAAGCTAGTTATTTAATTATATCTCCTACACCGTTAGAGCTAGAGCTTCCAATTTTAAATGTAGACTTATATGTATTTTATATAATTTCGATTTTCGTTGTAATTTACCCCTCACCTTTATATCCGCCCCCTCACCCTCACCTTTGCAAAAGGCGTATTTCAAGTACTAGAGATTTGTGCCTTGGAATGTACACACATTTGAGCATTATGATTATGGTCTAAAAGTTTTATTAAGATTGTAGGTCTAGAAATTAAATTATTCAACAAATAAATTCTTATAATGTTGCCCACAATGCAGCGCAACCCAAGCGCAGTCGCTGCTTACTGCGTTCAGGGTTCAGGGTATCTCCTAGTCGAGCAGTCTCAACTAGACTCTTCTTACTTGTTATATTTAGGTTCACCCTAATTACTGCCTCTTTTGCATTGTACAACTCTCATTACTTGCATTAATTCGCCTAGCTCTAAGCAAGCTGCGCTTGCTCATAAGTTTATACTTTAGCCTATATCAAGAACTCTACGAATAAACGTCGCATCTACGATGCGCTGAATTTACTATACGGCTCATTTGTTTAGTTAGAACAGCACCCCCATACTCATGTTAGACAGAAAAACGCTTCTGATCTTACACTAGCATCGTTTTACTTAAATACATTGAAATGGATACTGCTGCATATGCACATATAGTAAACTTAAATAGTCTTCTGTAGTTATCCTTATGCATTGCTCTTAAAGGTGGACAGACTGAGAAACAGGCTGTGAGGTGGACAGGGGACAGACATACATACAGACATACGATGAATGAAGTATTATTGAAATATCCGTCACTCGAAGGATTCAGGGAATCACGTAGTTGATAAGTCATGAATAGAGTTGTCTTACTTGTTACTCAACCAATTGATATTATCTAATTGTTTTTCTACATAATTTGATTACCGTTAGTGCGACTTCTTTTTTCTGTTCATTCATTCTGCAATTTTAAGCTATATGAAAAAGTAGAGAATACCCTTTCAATTTTTAACTGAACGACTGACGCAACTCAGTTTCTTTTTTTAATTCAGTGTAACGCAATAACAGTAAAATAATCATTAAAAGTCATGAATGAGTAGTAGAAATTCTACATATTGCATAGAATCTACTATTACTCCAATAAAATGATATTTCGCTGTTCGCTTCGTTAAGTTAATTGCTTAACCATATCCACAAACCAAAAACACTATTTCTTGGTTTATAATTTGTGTTGTAGCAAATACATGAACCAATAAATAGGTTCGTTGAGCTCGTCTTTTTTGTAATAGATTGTTTAGCGCCCTCTATAAGTCAAGGCTAATTTGACAGTCAATAAATATGATTGACGTTCATTCATATATTTCAAAGTAACCACACCTTTTGTTGCTTCGATACCAGTTAATCCCTTCTCCTATCAGCTTATACATCAAATATATTTGAGATTGAATATTAATTACGTAATATCATCATAATTATCACAAGAACCTATAAGCCAAAATATTGCTTTGACAGTTTCCAAGATACGATCGAGACTAATAAGCTCAACGGAAACTGCAAAATCTGAAGCCAGAAGTGCTCATCTGGGATATACCTTAAATTTCGACTAGCCGTCTAAATATGCTCCTTAGGTTGTATCCATCAATGAACTCGTTTGAATCAATGCACCTGCATAGAGAAAACGCATACGCCTGCCACGTGACGAATAAGTATTTAGATATTGACTGTGTAACTAACTTTTCTTTGTCGCATTATTTTCTACAAAAAATGTATGATCTATGATCTTAAATACTATACATACGTAATTGTTAAACTTCTTCAACGTCTAACGGAAATCCAAAATACATTATTTAATTTGTAGATGCGCAAAGCGGAAGTTGTATCCCGATTTATGTAACCAAATTTATATTTTTCCAAGTAGTGCAAGCCGTTATCAACATCATCATTCAATTATCACCCATCGGTTGCATTTTTATTTAGAGTTTCAGAAATCCTTCAAACTGATCGCAACATGAAATTTTTTATTAAGAACGAGTAAATGAATGAACTTGAATATAAGATATCGTGTAATCTTTCATATATATATATATATGTCGAACTATATATATATATATATATATAGTTCGACATCAATCTAATTTGTTGTCCTTTCTACTAACAAGTACAGGGTACAGCTATAATAAAAAACCGTTGCAGTTGCGTACTGCTGTCAACGATTATGATGGTCATTGTGATGATGAAGATGAAAGAGTAAAGAGAGCTACCCGACTGGCACATTGCTCAAAATAAAAAAAATGCGCCGTCGATTGTGGAGGATAACGAACTTCCCATCAGAAGCAGTCGGTCAGCCTAGTTTTATTCCCGCTCACATTCTGATTCCCATCCCATTTGTTCGGGCCTTGCAATCAGTCGCTGCCGTCGCGTCGGTACCGCTCTCGCAGTTGTTGTTGGTTTATCTCAGCCTCTTTACCGCCCTTTCTACCCTTTTCACGGCATTGGATTTCCCTTTTTTTAGCGCTGTGCTTTGTTTTTGTTTCGGCTACCTCGTTCTATGAAGGGATTTTGCAGCCTCCTGCAGTGGTGTAATGCTCTGTGTGCTCACACAGTTCAGGCATGCCCGAATCCAGTTGAAAAAATTTAAGACAATAACAATAAATGTTATTAACTTAACTTTACAAATTTTGATTAAAAACGGGTAATTAGTTATTAACTGTGAACTGACAATAAATGTTTTTAAATTCTTACACTCCTTGGAATACTTCAACAAATAATATAATAATTGTATATATATTGTCTCGTCATATTCGAGGGTGTCTCGTAGTCTATGCATCACTATATAAAAATTATTTCTCGTTTTTGTTTTTCATGCAGCTGTTTGGGTTCAGCTCAGATATACTTTTTAATACCCTGAACCCATGGAAAATGAAATTCCGGGTATAGTGGTTTTGTTAAATTATATACATTCTTGATCAGGACGACAGCCGCAAAATCTAGCAAATAACTTTAATTATGCGCAGCACGAGCTTTTCATTTTTATTCGATTTTTCCTACTTATCCAATTACATATTATAAATATCGATGTCGATATATCGAAGTTAAACTTTCTTAAGCTAGAGACTTTAAATTTACAATATAGACCTCTGAAATTAATAAAGAATTTGTATATTTTGGATCCCCTGATAAAGAAAAAAAAACTTGTAAGCCCTACAAACTCGTGCGAACAGAATATAATTTCTTATTGTTTAGAAATAGTTGTTTTGTTTGAATTTATGTATAAAATGAGGCTGGAATATTAGCTCTTCGGAGGATTCAGGGTATCTAGTGGTCGGCCAATACCGACCAGAGCACTCTCAATGTCTGTTTTTGTTAAGTTGATCAGAACAATACGAAATATCTTGGAAGATGCTCCAAATAGACTCTTTGGTTGGGCTTAGGTGTTTATTGGTACTTCAGTAGCTTTGCTGCGGGCGAGTCAAACTCCATAAGTGGCAATATTTGGTTTCAGAATTTCAGAATCGATGGCCATACCAGCTCTATCCAACTTTTCAAAAATGTGCAAAAACCCGTAAATAATTGCTGGGATATGCGTGCAAACATTTCGGGTTTTTGCCCAAAAAAAAAAAAAAAAAAAAATCGTTACGTTTTTTGTGATTTTGTTGTTACTGCTGCCTATCGAACTTACCCCTCATTTTTTTTTATAATTATAAATAGAGGTTGGGTTAAGCGTGCAAAAGGGCTTGGAGGTGAGCGTTTCCTCTTATGATGCGATGAATTGAACTAGAAATGAAATGCTATGCGCTAGTAGATAATTTCCTCAAATATAATAGATTTTATTGTTTATATGTTCATATTAGATAACACATTTTTACGAAGTCACTTTTTCAGTTACTTTTAAGTGATGAAATCACTTCATTCTTGGGGTTGTAAAGCCATAAGAGACAAGAGGGTAGGACCGAGCTGTGTCAGTTGATCTGTTAGATTTTACGATTCGCTTCGCAAGATCTGATTTTATTGATACCTGGTCTATCTTACCTACCAATGCTATAGACTAATATAGCATTTATAATCATATATCTTTATTCATAATATATCATATTCATAATCACATTCCTTAAAGTAAATTAAATTAGACATTAGAATAATTAAAAAAACAAACTATAACAAACTACATAATTTATTGGGAGACCAATTATGTTATCAGACGAGCACAGAAAATAAAATCATTGAGTTATGAAACACGAAAGTAACACGAAGTAAGAAGGCTCACCTAGGAGATACCCTGAAGCCTCTAAGCTGATATTTTACTCATTCTGCACTTCTTTTATGCACACATGCATATATTTTTATGGGGTCTGCAATGATTCCCTTTGCCTGTTACAAACTTTTCACAAAATCTTTGTACCCATTTCCCATTTTCAATGGGTTCAGCAGATATAATGAGCAAATATAACCATATGTATGAATCTATACGGATCTATAAGTAAACGGCTCAAAATGATCACGTTCTACAAATTTACTTCAAATAAATAAAAATCTCAATAGATTTAATAAAAAAAGAGAGAAATGTGTGCAAAAAGCGCGCAAAGCTAAAAACTGTACAGGATGCGCAAGCGAAGAAGAGAGCTAAGAGGAGAGACTTTCACAATCCCAATATACGAGAATTACTGTGTGTAAGGAGAGGCGGCTAAAGGTGTGTCAACAAAGCGGCGACGCAAAAAAAATCTCAGGTTATTGCACAAGGACAACGTCATGATCACTGTGAAAAGATCGTAATGATCATGACGAATGTTGTACTAAAACATAATAGGAAGAGAGGATCATGACAGAGGAAACGTTGCGTTTTGCTGACAACCCGTTTTTTAGGGTTGCCAAAGGGGATGGTGTTCCCTTTTCCCGTTCTACAAAGCAAACTGCGTTTCACCCCTTTGTGTAAATGAAATAGAGGCAGGAGCAGCAGCCAGGAGGCAGGATCGCTTCGAAGTTCAATTTTTGCGCGCGCGTCGCAGCATCGAATTTATTTTTTTTAATTTTCAACGCATTCGCCGATTTTAGTCGTTGAGAGTGCGTGGATGGACGTGCAACGGGCTAAGCAAAAATTGAAGTGCGATAGTTCTGAAATGATGTGTTTAAAATTTACAGAAATTGTGGCATGTTTAAGTAAAAAACAATATGAAAAAATAAGAAGAGATAAAATCAAATATAAAACAAATTTTCACCTCAGCAATCGGACGTGGCGTGCGCACATATTTATATTGGATTGGATTTTGCGCATTTGAAACTTTAAATTGTAAAATGTCGGAGAGAGAGAGAGAGAACGCCAAACAGGAGAGTAAAAACGCCGACAAAAGCAAAAACCGCCGATAAAAGAAAAACACACACACGAGGAACTAAGCAGACAAAACATTTTTGGCACATTTTTGTGTCTAGCTGTTGGAAATGTTGAACTTATTGATAAAAAAAAAAATAAAGAAACTAATCAAAATTTAACCTAACTGCACAAAAGTTTTACCAACAAAACCATTAAAAGAGCACACAGCAAAATTCGTATTTCAATCACTCAAAATTATTTAAAAACATGTGGCTTTTGGTAAGATTTTCAGCAAATGGAATTCACGTACTCTCCATTGATTGGCAAAACACAATGAAGGGAATAAGATGTAAATTAACTAACTTGGCATTTTTACGTAAATGCGCAACATATCTAATGCCCAAGTGCGTGTATGTGTGTTAGTGTGTGTGTGCATTCTTTTTAAAAATGGCCGCGCGGTTGAGCGAGCAGGATAGCAACACGGTCAATCGCACATTTAGAGCTGTTGCTTAAATTGTTCAATGTCATTTTTGGCAAATAAGTTTTGTTTGTAAAATATATCTTATAATTTAAAAATGAACAAAAATTATATATATATATATCATTTCTAAATTGTAAGATATATATATATATATATATATATATATATATATATATATATATATATATATATATATATATATATATATAATATCATAATATCATAGTAATGACTCGATGACTTGAAATTAATTTAATAGGGCTAAATTATTTGTTATATAATTGTATTACTTTGAATTTCTAAAATATTTCATATCTGAATTAGCAAAGCTTTCATTTAAGGGTAAATTTTATCTTTTAAAAAAAGCAAGCGGGAGAACCTTTTTAATAGGGCTGTCGAATATTTTTTTTAAATATCCTATCGATTATATTTTAAGTTTAGAAAAAATATCAATTAAATATTAGATGTGCAACTTGAATAATATTGATATATCAATATTTTTCGATACTTAAAAAAAAACAAGTAATAACGTTACAGTCGGGCGTTATCGACTGCGGAATACTCATTTACATCCCATCAGCAATTTAGTAGTTAAGTTTCGCTCTAACGCTGTAGAAAATGCAATTTTTCACGATTTACCACGGCCCTACTTGGCGTAGATATATCCGCCATAGCTCGTGATCTCGATGCGGATCTATATTCCAAATTTCAGCTTTCTAGCTCTTTAAATAATATGATTTCTGGCATATCGGAAAATGCATTTTCCGACTTACCACGCCCCTAGTAGGCGGATCAATTTTAACATAATTTAATTTTAACACTTAATAAATCGGAGATATACACAAGTATGTGTTCCAAATTTCAAATCTCTAGCTTCAATAGCGCCGAAATAGATTGCGCTCATACGGACAGACGGACGGACAGCAAGACGGACATTGCACAAAACCAATATACTAATTCACTTCCGTGAATGAGTATAATAATTCACTTTCGTGAATGAGTATAATATTTCACTTTCGTGAATGAGTTTGAAAACATTTTATACACAATTTATAATCCGTCCCACAAAACAAGATAATAAGAACAAGTAACAAAGCTCTAGTCGAGACTGCTCGACTACGAGATCCCCTGAGCCCTTCGAGCAACTGATATATCAATAATTATTCGCACATGCACACACACATTTTCTTACCATTTTCTTACTTTGAAGGAAATCTGACTTACGCCTAAGCTAGTTGCAGTGACTCACATTAATCCTTTCTCTTCTTTTAAAACGCATTCATTAGGGGAAAATTGAATGTATAAGATATATGTATATATACATAGACAAATATACTCTTCATTATCCTTGTCTGATAGCGTGACCAAGATCGCACGATACGATCAGTAGGGGCGTGCCGATTATTTTTAAAGCTCTAGAGACTTAAAATTAAGAATATATTCTCGAGTGCATCTACGCCTATTAAGGGCGAGGCAAACAGTGCATATTTTAAGAGGTATAATGCTGCTGGATTTGACGTTTTTGTTTCTTTGTAAAAAAATATTCTCTAGTTTTCTTACTTTTGAAGAATAGTACACCAAATTATACAGCTACATACTCGTAAGTTAGTAACAGTAGTAAGTAGTAAAGTAAAGTAAGTAGTAAGTAGTAAAGTAGTATCAGTACTATGAAATAATTTAATAACGTAACTTCTTTCCCACTTTAAAAACTGATCGACTAGATTCACTGTGTAAATCTGCGTTATTGAATCAGAGATTTGGTTGTTTTCAGCTTTTAGGTTAGGATTTGAGAGGGGAATAGTTTCCATTTCATATGTTAAATTTTAGATGTTAGAGATTTGCATTATAATTATTTCATTTATAACCATCATAATCACACAAATAAATATCATTATCTTTGGAAAGTTTGACTTGATAGTCCATTTATTCAGTATTTAAGTTTAGAATGATATTTTTTGCGAGTATGTACATACGTACATACGTATGTATGTGTGCAAGTGTTATTAGTAATGTATGTGTTAAATAAGCATAGAATATTAGAAACAAAAGCTTTCAGAAGGGTGTCCCTTAGTCCCTGACTAACATGTTATAAGGGTACGAAGGCAAGAAACGTTGTGGGGGACATTTTGCTCTGAACATTTTCATAAGTTTTTATTTCAATGCTTAAGTCGATATACTTATGTATAAGTGTTACAGAAATTATTAAACAAAACTTTTGGAAAATTGGCTAAAGGACATGGAGACCTGTGTCAATAGTACGTATTTGCTCTATACACACATATGTATCCGCATGTCATTGCGTTCTAGGGTAATTGAAGAATCGTGCTAAAATTGTCAGCTGCTATATTAGTTTGGAATTACTTCTAATCGATCAAGCAGTGAAATTATGGTATTTTTTAGAAGTAATTTGCTTAGGAAAACAGATGCGAGTTTTTGTTTCAAATTTAGAATACATGGCACTTCGATATTGTATTTACCTTAAAAAAATGTAATTACCGTTTATAAAGTGGGAACTTTAAAAACAAGTAGGATCGTAAATAGTTCGAATATAGTTCGCATTTGCCTTCCAGAAAAGAATAGGAGGTACAAATTTGTCGAATGCTTCGTAAATGTATGTATGTTCCAAGCCCATGGCCTTAAAAACCCTGAAATACTTTGTAAAATCCGAATTCGAATACGTTGCTTGCGATACGATCGTAACAATGACAGCTAACTAATCATATAGGAATCAAACAACCCTTAACGCTTACAGTAAGGGGTACGAGCTAGCACTGCAATGGCCAAACCGAAATGGTCGAACGGTCAAGCGAATGTACATATAGGAATATACATTTTTTTCTTCAATTTTAGGCGGTCAGCGAGTAGGAACACTAATAAGGGTTGATGGAAGCCAACGAACATAACTGTTATAGGCCTGCTCGGGTATTCAGCTGGTCAGTGAAATAGCCAATGGTCGAAAGGTCTAATTCAAAATGGCAAATCTAAAATATATAACATGCAATGCGTTGCAGCAATTCCAACTTGGTGTTTTTCAATTGTTATGAGTGTATACTACGCATCTTTGTTCAAAAAATACTTCGCCTTTATAATAATAATAATAATAATAATAATGATATCCCTTGAACAGCAATCCATACATTTCTTCTACCTTTATGTCTTATAAATATATAATTATTCTGATTTGCAAGTGATAAGGTTATCGATAAAATACCTTATCGAAAATCAGTTATAAAATTATATCTACTACATCTTTGGATTTACAGTCTCCAAATTTTGAATGTATATTTATATGCATTTTATATATTTATATGCATTATGATCTGAAAGAAGATCGTATGTCCACAAAAAAAGTTATTAAACAATTAAATTCTCATAGTAAGCGGACACTGCAGCCCATGCGTGTTTATGCGTGGGTGCTTGTGTGTATATGTGTGTGTGTGGTGTGTGTGTGTGTGTGTGTGTGTGTATGCGTGTGTGTGTCTAAGCGTGTGTGCGTGTTTCTTGTGTAAGCAGAAAGATGCGAAAAATGATTAAAATAGGTATTGCTCGAAGGGTTCAGGGGATCTCGTAGTCGAGCAGTCTCGACTACAGCTTTCTTACTTGTTAATATCGATAACTACTCCCGATATTTTATTATCGATTAAAAACCTTATCGAAAGCTAGCTATTTAATTATATCTCCCACACCTTTAAAGCTATAGCTTCCAAATTTAAAATGTAAACTTATATGTATTTTATACAATTAAAATTTACCCCCCACCCCTATATTCACCCCTCACCCTCACCTTTGTAAAAGGCGTATTTCAAATACTAGAGACTTGTGCTTTGGCAAATACATGCATATGTTATATGTTATAATCATAATCTGAAAGTTTCATGAAGAAAGAACATCCACAAGAAAAGTTATTAATGCACACTGCAGCCAATGCGTGTTTGGGCGTGCGTACGTATGTCTGTGTGTGTGCATATGCGGATAATTATTGAAATAGCAGCTTTCTTACTTGTTATATAAAAATTTGTATATATTTGAGTACTTCAGTAATATTCAGAAATATTTTATTTAAGTATAAAATTATTTTGGCAGCCTCAGAAGTTTTGATGCAAATTGTTTTACTTTTATTAAACTCACTCGCAGTTTAAGGATTATCAAAGCTAAAAATTAACCAAATGGCTTTCACAACTGTACTTACATATATTATAGAAAGCAAAGAAAAAGGATAAAGCTATTAAAGGCGCACAATTCTGTTTCATGTTAGAAAAAACTATGTTGAAGCATTTACAATTTCAGTTTTTATTACTTCCAAAAATGTTGTGTAAAATGTCAAATATTATATATAGACCTCAACCTGAGATTACCTATCTTAAATATAAAAAAGACAGGAGAGCTTGTCAAATATTTTACGCCAATTAAAAGCAATGCTTCATATAGAATTGAGAAGGGTAAGGAGTGGGCAATCTGTAGGAGGCGGGGCACAAATGAACTTTTCGATTCCATCTGCCACCTGACAAGCCCCTTAGCATCATCAGGAGGTGAGAACATGAAATGCATTTTCCATGTTAGCTGCTATTCAAATTGCTTAATTGCGTATTAAATATGCAGAAAAGTAGGCAAAACGCAAAAAAAAAATTGATATATATATTTACATGTATTTGTGTGTGTGTTTTCTTGTGTATGCATTTATAGTCGAATAACTAACCGTTGACAAAATTTTCCTGTGGCCAGCATGTGCGTGCGTGTGTATGTTGATGTCTGTGAAAATTTTTGTTTCAACAAGCATTATCGTTCTTGTCAGTTGCCTGGCATCGGACAGCCGCATACCACTCTCCACACAGCCTTCTATCACCTCATTGCCCCATTGCCCCCATAGGCCCACAACACTCTAACCATCAAAGTGACACCTGATTTACCGTTACGTAAGCAATCCAAAAAGCCGAAAGGTTAAAAGTCAACAGAGGGAGTTGGAAACCATCAAATCTGCTTACTGCCTGCTCTGAATCACTTTTGAATACCCTTTACTTCACATGTATTTCGTAAAATTTTGGAAATGTGTGTGAGAATTTCGATTTTTAAATAAGTCATTTAATTAATTATTTTAGAATTAACGTCTAAATATTATAGAGAGTAATAGTAGTGGAGAGTAAAGTAAGTTAGTAAAAAAACAATTAAGGGGAAAGGAAGCAATGTAGACTGTAGAGTTACTTAGATACAAACTTTTGCGGTTTGCTCCCTATGATCGTAGATATATCTTTTTGATTCTCGATTTTCAAGCCGAGTATATTCGAAATTCCAAGTACCTGCCATTGAAATAAAATTTAAATCCGAATTTTAAGGACTCGGTTACAGGGTATATACTTGTATACTCGGGAATATCTTCATGTTTTAATTGACGAGCCGTGTAGAGAACTTTTGGCGGATTGTCGGAAGAGTGGTGGCACGTACGTTCTTAATAGAATTTCCATTTATGCCCATTAGCCACTGAGAGAGGATTTCACATGCAGATATTAACGATGGAAAAGAGCCATACAAAATATTATATTGCTACTTTTCATTCCGACTGCTTATTGACAGATGATACATTAAGAGTTTAAATTAAAGCAACGATTGATGAGTATGAAAATAATTTCTATAAAGGGTCTCTGTCTGTTACATATCTCATTGTTATAATAACATATTCTGAATTCCCTTTTTGATGTGCATACAGTCAGCCAATTAATTGGACTTTAAATACATTTAATATAGGCTTACCCGAAGATTAGAAAAAACGCATTTTCATTAATAAGTTACATGTAATGTCTGCATGTCAGCCAACTATAAAAAAACAAAGGTAAAAAAAAAAACAAACAAAACAAAATTTCGTTGGAAATCAATTAGAAAAGTTGCAAAGTTTTACGTTTAGTGTTGAAAATGTTCAGCGTGCAATCTCAATCCAAGAATTGAAAATTCATGCCACCGCAGGACCCGACGAAACATTGCTAATAATGTCTGTGGGGTAACTGGCTGGCTGACTGACTGGCTGTCAGTTGTATTGTGCTGTGACTTTTTAACCTAATGAATAATAAATTGGGCCAATTGTCACGCAAAAACAACGCGCACAGACGCCGACAAGAAGTGGTGGAGAATGCAGAGTCGAGCTGCTTGCTGGTTAAGTGTAAGGATAACGCCTTTTCCCGGCTTTGCTCAATTGCTTACCATTTTGGGATCTAGTTCGACTGCCAGCCAGCATATCCAAATTTTAGACACATTTTCCAACTTTCTTACAGGTTTGCTCGTTTGTTATACCAATAACAACAAGTAAGAACGTTGCAGTCAGGCGTTACCGACTGCGGAATACTCATTCACATTTCATCAACAATTTAGTAGTTAAGTTTCGCTCTAATACTGTAGAATATACAGTTTTTTCCGATTTGCCACGCCCCAACTAGGCGTAGACACCTCATTTTGGTCAGTTTTTAGAACAAGATAACGGTACCCTAACTGCAAAGTTTGAATGCTTACTCTCAAAAAAAGTGAATATTACAAGGTATTTTTCGATATGCCACGCCCCTAAAGAGGCGTGAAAATGATTTTTTGGGAATCGATACAGAAGGCTACCAGTAACTCAACTATCCGAATTTGAAGCTTCTAGATATTATACTTTAGGAGATATAAACTTTTGTGGTTTGCCACGCCCCCTGTGGGCGGACATATATATCCGACAAAGCTTTTTGGTCTTGGGGGATCAGCCCGAGTATATATACAAAATTTGAGATCTCTGGCATCAATAGTGTCCAAAATATAGCAGAATTCGAAAAATCACTATATCTTCAGGTCCCCTAGTGAGCGGATCAGGAAAATTTTAGCACTTTGTAAATCAGAGATATACACGAGTATGTGTTCCAAATTTCAAGTCTCTAGCTTCAATAGCGCCGAAATAGATTGCGTTCATACGGACACATGGACAGACGGGCGGGCGGACAGACGGACGGACAGCAAGACGGACACAAAACCAATATACTGATTCACTTTCGAGAATGAGTATAAAAATACCACGTAAAAGGCGTTTCGTAAATGGTAATATACACTCTGTCCTGGCGTATGTAACTCATGTATGTAAATGTGTACGAGGAGCAGCAAGAAAGAATCGAACATCAATGTATGTATATATTTTATATAATATAATATTATATTATATATATGTATATATATATATATATATATATATATATATATATATATATATAGTAAGTAATAGTATCACACGTGATATAGTATGTGTTAGTCCATTGCTCCCATCGTACGATTTAAACATTCTCATCTCTTTTTGTCTTGCTCCAAATGTCGCTTTCAATAGATTTTGGCATTTGTTAGCTTCCACTCAAGTCGCTGGGGAAATTGCAGCCAAATGCTGTTACAGCTACATCATTAGCTAGAGGTGGCAGCTACTGTAGTTATTGTTATTATTGTTATTGTATTTATATTCCAAATGTAATTCGAAGAAGAGAAGTAATTAGCATATTGAAACCTTTTGGCCGTTCGCTAAACTTGTAGTCATCAATAATGCAATTCACATTGCATTTTGGCATTTGTGTGGGTTTTAGTTTTTATAATGTTCCTCCTCGTATACATATACATAAATGTTTAATTTTAAAACTCATACGATACGAAGGGATTAGATACAACAACACAGACAGGGAAGCCTTCTAAAAGCGTGTCAACGACTTATCAATCACAATATACCGAATCAAATGTTTCTGTCAATCAAACAGCTGAATTCTAATGTGTTGAATGTAAATCGTGTGTGAGAGCATTGGGGCTTATTACAGTATTTTGCTCTCCTTATTGATCTAATTTAATATTAATATTTTAATTATATATTAATTATTAATATATTTTGATTCTCAGAGGTTCAAGATTACAACTATATATATGTTGCTTAATTAAATTGGTCATTCATGAGCAAAAGCACTTTGGAATTAAACGATATCGGGCTGTTCACAGTACAAATTGCTTATAACTCTTTCAATCAATTTAATCATAATTTTTCTATACGTAATATAACTCAAAAAAGATTTTTTTTTTTAAATTGAAAAAATATATATATATTATATTCTTACAATTATATATTCCTTATATTTATTATAGCGAGCGCCTATTAATATTTAGGGCAAAAAATTAATATTATAATATTGTCGGTTATGCCTGAAATTTGTTTCTTTTTCTTTTCGGTATGCGTTTCAATTTCATTATCATATTTCTATTTGCAAAAACGGTCTGAAACGTATATTTTTTCCCTCAAATATCAACAATTTTAAAATAATTAATAATGTGCCTCAAAATTCTTAAAAATATATAATGTAAGTCGAGTAAAAATATGTCATTCATTAACCAAACGCTTTCAACGGTTTCATTTCATCAGCTGCTAGACTCATTATTAAGTCTAGCAAAAGTAGTTAAACAATTATAAACATTTTAAGCTTTATTATTTAGAAATCTATGGGGGGCGTTGCATACGCCTATTCGAAAATAGGAACGGAATAGGCCCAACCAACAACTATATAATTTACGCCTGCGCAGATCGTCAAGCAAATGCATGCAATACAATATCAAGGTTTGACGCTCATTGGTCGGCCCCAACAGCAGCAACAGCCGAGTGCTGTGATTACGTATACGCCGCACGGGCAAAGAGCAGAATGGTAAACAGGCCAACACTCGCACGGGGTTGTTGCTGTTGCTGCCGTCTTTCATTACGAATAGGCATTCGTAAAGTAGCTATAGCTCGTGTCCACGACGCATTACAAGGATCACAGGCCCAGAGCCACAGCAGACAACGTTACAGCATTCGCATCAGAAGTGCAGTTCCAGTGCAGCACTCACACCGTGCTGACGTGTTTCCTCTTCATAGCAATACAAAACAAACGATTGTAAAATAAAAATAATAACCGTCAGCCAAACGGACCCTTATATAATTTTGATTGTTGCTCAGAAAGCCCGTAATTTAACTTAACATGGCTTTCGAGTAATAATCGAAACCAAATAAGGCATCCAAACATCATTTTGTCAAAAATTTCAAAAAAATTAAAATACAAAATTAACTACAATTGAGGTAAGTAAATAGTTTTTAATTTCGAAGCACATCACAGATACTATAGAAATAAAACACAAATATTTTTACGAATCCCATGTTGTTCGTAATTTATTTATAACATAAAAATAGTTGAAATTTTACTTAAGTAACTATCATTTCAATTATGTTTCTTCTAGTCAGTATGGAGGTACACACTAAAGTAATACGTATATTACAAGAAATAATTATTTTATTTAGCCTTATTATACTTACAAATGTGCCTGACTAATTCCTACAGCTCTTTTTAAATCATTGTCGGTTTCTTTTATACATACAGACGCTAAGTAAAGTTGAGGTGCGCCCATTTGATGTATGTATAAATTGTTTAAAATACCTTATTAATTCTATGAAAATATATTATATAGTTTATATATATATTTATATTTATATTATATAGTATATATACATATATATATATATATATATATATTTTTTTTTTTTTCTGAAATAAGCGAAAAAAGATGGTCTTGCTGCACTTGTAGCCATTTTATGCACATAGGATAGGAAAAACTACCTAGAAGGATGCTAGAAAAATTTGGGTACACTTCGTTTATCCCGTTTACCGCTAGGTGTTGCTTAATGCTTCCAAAGGTAATCCTATTGTATTTCGAGTCACATTATTCATTGGAATTTCATTCGGGTAATTATTGTTGAAATAAATGGTTGTTTTGGTTCGAAGATCAAAAACCCGCTACATAAAATTGGCCGAATGATTGGACGACCCCCGAAAAGCTATAAAGCGCTATGGAAAACAGCTATTTTTATACTCATTCACGAAAGTGAATTATTATACTCATTCACGAAAGTGAATTAGTATATTGATTTTGTGCAATGTCCGTCTTGCTGTCCGTCCGTCCGTCTGTCCGTCTGTCCGTATGAACGCAATCTATTTCGGCGCTATTGAAGCTAGAGACTTGAAATTTGGAACACATACTCGTGTATATCTCCGATCTATAGTGTTAAAATTTTCCCGATCCGCCCACTAGCGGCGTGGCAAATCGGATAATGCATTTTCCGATATGCCAGAAATCATATTAATTAAAGAGCTAGAAAGCTGAAATTTGGAATATAGATCCGCATCGAGATCACGAGCTATGGCGAATATATCTACGCCCATTCATATTTCGATATATTTTCAACAGTCCTACAATTATACCCATGTATGTATATCCAAACCCTCTAAGGGCTTATAATATTTTGAGACCTATTATAACTATTTATTTGCATTTTAAAATAAAAAGCCTAAAGAGCAGATTTTTCGTAATTAAGCAGCTTTTTAAATAAGAACTATTTAACATGAAATTTAATAAATATACATATATTGATTGAGAAAGAGCGATTAGTATCTAGTTTTTATTTTAATCGGTCATTGTTTAATAAAGACTAGAACTTATACCAGCACATTGGTGCTAATATATAATTGTCAAAAAATAAAACAATATAAATACTTCAAACAATATAAAGCACTATTGTTTTATTCCTATTTACAAAGTGAAAATAGCAATAGCAGCAAGTTTATTGCAGTGTCTATCTGTTTATCCATTTCGCCTTAATAATTTAATATATACTCGTGTACTCCCCCGCGCGATTCAATAGTTTTCTACGCAAAACATCTATTTTTAGCTCCTAAGTTGCAGTAAATATTAATATTGAACTTGCGAACAAGCTGAATATATGAACTTAATCCAGAAGAAATTTCTTAATTGATTTGTAATTTAATTATCATGTTCCGTAATCTACCCGCATCAAAAAAATACCTTAAAACACTTCCCTCTTTGGAATAAGTTACCGAAAAACTCAGTCGTTGAACTTTTTACTGAAAACAAATAAACAAAAACAAAATAAAAAACATTTAAAAAATATCGAGAAACGACCTTCACATTGAATGCGTCTAAGAGGTAAGCTAATAAATATAAATGTTGTCGGCCGATGGATGTCAATGCACCTAACCAGTTTTTTAGGGAACTACTAGGTCTCTATCTGGTTGTTATGTATTATTTATTTATTTTGGTTAGGCTGTCAACAGACCGATTCTTATGAATTAGCATATGGCGAGACAACGACAACGACAAAAAGTGTCCCCGATCATTGAACCTGGATGTGCGAAATATTTCTGCGTCTTAAACTCGATTTCATTTTAACCAATTCTCTAGATAAAAATAACATATTTCATAGTTGTCTAACCAATATTAATTCACGGGTTGTGTTCTTGTAATTAATATTACCGTTTATTTTTGAATTAAAATTCAATTCCTGATTATATGTCCAAGGAAAGCTACCTGCATTTCTGAAAACCTCGCCGACATTGTACACGCTAGTTTTCTTAAGGGCAATGTTAATGTCAAAGTCATAATTTACATTACAGTTTTACAATGATATTGCGCTATTTACTGTTGTTTGCAGCTACCAGCACCATGCTGGTAGCATGGAAATATCATTTTGCGCCCTTAGCTTCAAATGCAGTTAACATTATATACAATTTGTGGAAACATTCACATACATTATTAACATTCATTTTTTTTTACTTGCTCATTAGTTGAAAAGAGCATATTACGTCGGGCAGAGCTCATTTGTTGCCATCCTCGAAAGTTCAATCAAAGCCTATAATATAGCTTCTTTAATTACGTGGAAAATTACAAAAATTGTATAGTACAAAATATGCACCTCTTAGTTGGTACTCCCATATGCAAGCTTACTTAATATAACAAATTTGCAATAAGAATTTTAATATGATCACCCACATAAAAGATGTCTTATACAAGTTTTACATTTTCAAGTTGTAATAGATTACGAGACCGACGAACGAACAGACTGACGGACATGGGTAGATCAAGTCCCCTCATCGATCTGATCTATAATTATATCATACTAAATAAAGATAATGGGAAATATCCCTTTCAATAAAATATTAATTTACAAACATATGTATAGTAAGCCTGAAGTAAATACACTTACTCATTTTACCTCAACTATTTGTGAACTGTTCAATGTCATGAACTTCACTGGGTCATAAAAAAGGCAACACGAACTCAGAAAAAAATTCGATGTTGTCTTTTGTTTACGTTTTATGTTTCGTTGTATTCGGCAGCACCCAAAATGTTGTGGGTGCAAGCGAAAGGGAGGGACGAACAAAGAGAGAGAGGGAGAAAGAGATAGACAAGTAAGACATATGAAGTGCTAATACGTGCTGCACATGCTGTGTGACACCGAGCTGCAGTCGAAGTCAACGTCAGCGTCGCTTCGCGCTGCGTCGGTTTCAGCAAACATGAAGCTCGGCAACAGGTGTTGAAACTTCCGTTCGTTATCAAAAATAAAAGCAACAACAAAAAACTCGTCAAATGAGCACTAATCCGCATAGAACAGCAGCAAGTAAGTCACTGGCTCAGTCGGCCTGTCAACCTATATAAATTTATTTGCGCACAGAATATTTGTGACAGTTCGCTGACTAGGTTTGCACCAGCATATGTGTAACGGTCAGTTTTTGAATAGTGGCGATATGTGGAAATTTGCGCAATTCCTTGTACTTATACAAATTGTAAATTATGCGCAGGCTCAAATCGCTTGTAAGTGCAATATTTGTTATTTGTTATTGTTATGCATCAATCAATACTGCAATGAAACGGAACAGGTTTTGAAATACCTCAAAGTATATACAATAATAACAATAATGTCAACATTACTAGAAAATATTAACATAAGGCTAACCTCCTCAATAATAATATTTTGTTATTTCTTATTAATAGTTACAGGACTACCTTGCACAGTCCGCAATCCTAAGATCGTCGGCGGAAGCGAAGCGGAACGGAACGAAATGCCGTTTATGGTTAGTCTAATGCGTCGTGGTGGCCACTTTTGTGGGGGCACCATTATACATGAGCGCTGGATACTCACCGCTGGTCATTGTATTTGTAATGGTCTGCAAAACTTCATGAAACCCACGCAGATTCAAGGCGTTGTAGGTGTCCATAGTATTCGGGATTATCTGAATGCTGTCAGTGACGGGCCCCAGGGATTCCGAGTAGACTTTAAGCGCATTGTACCACATCCACAATATGATTGCAAAAATGTGCAACATGATATCGGTAAATATCCGTTTATTTATGTCAACAGAAGGAGTGAAGATTAATTCACATTTGCGAAATTAGCCCTGCTAGAGCTCGTACAACCTATGGGCTTTTCGGCACATATTCAGCCCAGCTGTGTTAGTTCAGGGGAGGAGGATCGTAGCTTGGTGCCGGAATACGGAACGGTATCCGGCTGGGGATGGACACAAGAGAACCAGGCAGATGGCGAGCGTGCCGATGTCTTGCGTAAGGCAAGAGTTAAAATATGGAACAATGAGGTCTGCGAGCATTCATATCGAGCGCAAGGAAAATCCAACAGCATTAGCGACACTCAGTTGTGCGCAGGATTTGAGAATGGTCAAATTGACTCATGTTGGGTGGGTATGCAATTTAAGAGTGGATCACAAAATGTTATGTTATGTTGTACACTTCTCAGGCTGACTCTGGTGGCCCACTGATGTCGAAGGAGCATTATTTACTAGGCGTTGTGTCTACGGGCATCGGCTGTGCCCGTCCAGGCCTTCCAGGCATATATACGCGTGTCAGCAAATATGTGAAATGGATGAAAAATGTAATGGGAAATCGGCAATAGCTATAAAACATGGTAAACTGAATGTGATAAAACTGTGATATTGACATATCATGTCATACAAAAATGAACTATAAATAAATTCTCTTATGATTATAAAAATTAACATTTCAGAAAATATTTTTAAAATTAATCTAAGGAGTACGCCTGTGCTTATTAAACAACATAAATATATACATACATACATATGCATTTATGTTTTTTTTTTACCGAAAAGTATAGTGGCACTGTTAAGACTGGTGAGCAAACAGCAGCTGCTTTTTTTTTCATGTAAGCTAACAGTTCTGTTATGACGTCACACTTTCAGCTTCAGGGCTGAAGCATAACTTGAGCAGGACACTTAAGCACGAACCCAGACAGTCAGGAAAAGTATTCAAAATAAATTATGTAATAACAAATTCAAATACTAAATGCACAAAAGTGGTCAATAATTTCACCTCTTTACCGGGGAATATTAACATTGAACTGCTATTAACATTAGAGCAAATGTAAAATATTTGGGTGACCATGGATTGTTATGTTATTGTAAACTTTAGGAAAAACAATCTTTTGTGTATAAAGAACTAGTACATACATATATGAAGTATGGACGACTCAGCACTTACAAAGTAAAATAATTTTTTTGTCTATCACTTAAGATTTTTCCTAATTTGTCTTAGTCTAGCAATTGCAGAGCTTATGTGGGGATTGCCACGTCAAGATTCCAACGTATGTCATGTGCCACAAGAGCGCAAAATAAATCCGCTGGGTAAACCAAACAAAATGTTTCTAGGACGAACAATAAACAGTGCGATACGACATAACAGGCGGACAACTGAGCGCACGCGGGCAAACTGTCAACAAAAACTTCAGGAATTAGATTCCAGACACAAAAGGCGCAAAGAAAATGTCTTTTATAACCGATGCATCAGGGAAGAACTCAATGGAACTAGGGAACGTAAAAGTCGGTCCAGTAACAATCTCAAACAAAGACGCAGTAGCAGAAGCTCGTCTAGAGAATACCGCTGTCGCAGCAGAGGTCACAAAAAGAAACACAGGAAAACCAAGAAGAAATCTAAACGAAGACATCATAGGAAAAGTCCTAGCAGTGAACTAGCAGTCCCATCACCCGAGAAATTATCAAATCCTGCATCAGACGATATCGCTTTTAACAATTTGGCTCTAGCAGTGTCTATGGCTTACAGTCGACCGCTATATCAAACACCCGCTAATAGGCCACTTCCATTCGTGTTGTCGTCGACTGACATTGTTAAGGAGCTAATGTCGGATGATGAAACGCTCAAACAGGATATCCAATTAGATGAACTATCTATAGCATCTTCATGTGATGAAATTCCAGCAATTCTTACGATCGATGTGAGTTCCCAAGATGAACAATCAGACGGCTGTGAGCGCTATGATGGCGAAAGTGAATCGGACAATTCCAGCTGCATGAATCTAACTATCGTCGATAGCGAAAGTGATATAGAAATAATTGAGAGTAAGGTGGAGCAGACAAAAGAAGAACCATCATCTTTGGAGTTAACGCACTCGTTAGAGTTACGATATACCACCGATATTGCTCTTACAGTGGACTTGACTGAAGATTAGATACAAAAAATGATTTATAAATAAAAAATTAGTAGAAAATATTTATATATTATATATAATGTTATATATATATAATATATTTTATAAAATTCTGTATATATGTAAATAAGATTGATTTTCGGCATCCCCGCTTAATAAAGTATTTAGAGTGAAATGTGTAAAAATTAAAGAGGTTTAAAGTTATGTATTCATTCGTATTCAATTCCATATTCCAGTATATATTTAAAGTCTTAAAATTAATTAAATGCTTAAAATTCATTTTGTAACATTTTCTTAAAATAAAATAATAAAGGAACTTTTTTGTTCAGTCTTGCTAGTTTCTCTTAAGATCATTTAATTATATTTACTAGCCTTCTTCGTCAGAGCAGCTTAAATTCAATTTGTTGAAATCTTTACATAACACGTGTTCACTGGGCTTAAAATTATTGCACCCATTTTCGCGCAATGATTATTGTACATGTAATATATGTGATATATTTACATTTTTAAAGCGGTTTCGATTTTTCGTTTTGATTAAATTAATTTGAGAGAACATGCGTTCACACGACGCATTAGAAACGGGCAAAATTATTAAATCTTTATGTTTTTGTGTAGCCGCATGCTGCTTAAGTGACGCCAGCCTACTCAATATGTTAGTCTGGCACGCTTTGCAGTGCGCATCCATTTTTTTTTAAATTAAGCAAGTCTTAAGGATTAAGCATTCGATTCATTAAGACTTAAAGAGTGACCAAACCGAAAATACCATATAATACCATAAAATCGAAGAAAAATGCTACTAAATACCTATACACCATTAAAATACTTTTGAGCAAAATCGGAGCTGATAAAATACCAAAAAGTATTTAAAATACCATATTCGGTCACCCTGCTCTGCTGACTGCGCAGTTAGCGACTGCGCTTGGGCTGCACTGCGGTGTGGGCGATATTATGAGAATTTATTAGTTGAATTATTTCTCTTGTTGGCAGACTATCTTTCAAACTTTCAGAGCGTGATCATATGGTTAAAATGTGTGTACATTCCAAAGCACAAGTCTCTAGTACTTGAAACACGTTTTTATAAATTAAAATGTATGTAAATCTCAAGTCTCCAGGTCTAAGTGTTCAAATTAGGCTGAACAAAAAATAAAATCAATTTTTCGATTATTCTCGATAAAAAGTTATCTGATAAGTTCGAAAAATATGATACACTTGTATTGCGTATGGTATACACGAATATGCATGTTAAATTTCAGCTCTCTAGCTCTTATAACTTCTGAGATCTAGGCGTTCTGACGACGGACAGAGCTATATAGACTCAACTCGTCGCCCTAAACAAGAATATATGTATGTATATACTTTATGAGGTCCGCGATGATTCCATTTGCCTGTTACCTACTTTTCACAAAAAATAAGAAGGCAGTTGTGGTCAAAGTAAATAAAAAAGTGGTGGTAGATGCTTATAGAGTATTATAGAAAACAGATTGTACATATCTGCCTTCGCTCTCACGAGCGATCTGTCAAATGACAGTTCTCTCTCTCTTGTCACTTTTCGACCAGCTGATTTTGTGTTAAAACACCACGGCGCAGTTGTATACTAACAGCGCTGATTAACAGCTGATTTTCTATAAAAAATACTAAGACGTGGCTTATATAATGCTTGGTAGCTTAAAAAAGAAAATAAGCAATGCAATTCAGGAGGGCATAGTCATTTCAGAGAGTCTACACGAGCAGTATCGCCAACGTGTCGGGGGCAGCACCAGCAGTCGGACAAGTGAGGCGACAGCCCCAAAAGCAACTGGCCTTGATTCGTCGCACTTGAGCTTAAACGGAAGCCATTTCTCCAATGGTAGCAGCGTCTATTTATCAGACGTACCCACAAAACTTAACGTGGCCGCGGGTTGCAATTTACTATCAAAATATGAGGACAGCTGGCAACAAATCCACGCAGCCAACGAGCGGAATGCTGAAAATGCGGAAACTTTGGCTTTTCAAATTACGGCCGTGTTGCGGAGTGCTAACGAGAAACGTGCAACAATAAATGAACTAAATAGTTGTCTCTCGGCTCTACCTGCATTAGTGGTCAAATTAGAGGAGTGTACAGAAGTAATTGGATCTTTGGAGAAATTGGGCCTGGAGCTGGAACAAGAACTTGACAAGTTGGAGAATCTATGCGAGGAATGCGAGCTACAGGAATTCGTACTTGCACAGCAGTTTCAGCTATCCAAACACAAGCAAAAGAAGCTGATTGAGCTGGAGCAGTATAGACAGAAGATTGCTGATCAGCATCAGCAAACGATTCAAACACATGAACAACATTTGAGACGGCTTCAAAAGGAACGCCAAGCTGTTTTTCATGATGCATTTTGCGAGGATCTAGAAGAGTACAAACAAAGCGGACAGCTTCCAAGTATATATTTGTTTTAGTTCAATTTTTTGAAAACGAAAAACATGTACATATTTTAATTTTTTATTTCCTTTTTAGAAATAGAAACGAAAGCAATGAAATTGTGTTTAGAAGACGTTGTTCTTGAAGAGAAGGACTTCGCAACGTCAGATGCCTTGGAGCATTTTCTTAATGATTAAAATGCGTCTATCTTCGATCAATGCCATTAGTGCCTCTTGTACACTCTAGAGAATTTAACACTAAACAATATTAGTCGACTTTTAACGTTATTACTAAATACATTACGCTTAGCATTTAAGGTAATCCCGATTGAGAAATACTAGGGATAATACTTTAACAAAAGTGTAAAATTGTGCATGGATTCTATTTCCATTTAAAAAGAAATTTTGTGCTTGCAGTGCCAAAATTATAGATTGTTTTGGAATATTTGTTGTACACACAGTTGAGGTCTTTATAGATTTACATACATAAATATTTATACAGGTCATACAGGAATTTAATTTCCATTAGCGGGAACAGAATTCATTAAATTGTTCCAACTATTGATTACATATATATAATATTGTATACACCATATATTGCAACCGTGTAAGACATTGCGATCAAATATGCACGATAGAGAAATTTTGTAATGCGATATGTAACTTGGCAGTGTGACGTCATCTTTTTTAGATAGACCGCTTATTAATGTTGTAAATGTGTTTAAATATTAAGTTTGACTGTGTTACTTAAAACCTGTCAATAAAATTAAAACGTACAACGATAATTACATCAATAATAAATACTTTTGATTTCATTTTAATAGTTGTTATCTCAGAGATACTGCAAAAGACTTGAAATTTGGTATATTGATAGAGCACAATGCCTCGTACTATTATGTTTTGTCTTACATTAAGAAAACAAAAATTGTATTTTAAATCTTAATACATCATAACAAGCCGTTAATGTTGTAACTGTATTGCAAATGCGCGCCCCTAATCGCTTGTGGAATGTTCAAAACTCCCGAACGTACCATGATGACCCGTTGATTTTCTTAAGATAATCCACTCAGCTTTCTGGATAACGTTGAAGTTGTTATTTTTAGCGTTCCGATATAACTAGGTGCTATAAGTCTATATTTGTTAAAGAACAGATTTCTAGGCCAGGACCTTGTAAATGCTAGTTTTTGGATGTTGTTTAACGACTGAAGGGCAATTTTGCCTGTTTTTTTCAAATTTTTCAATTTATGTCACTCTTTGTTGTAATTACAGTTTTTTTTTTTTTTTTTTTTTTTTTTTTTTTTGTGAATGGTATCTTACAATAATTAAAGAGTTTAGACTAGGAACTAGGCCTTTTCTGCTTAGATATTTACTTAGAGATATGACATGGTATATAATATGACTTAATTATTTGGGGGAAAAATCAAAGAAATAGAAAACCCCGAGGTTATTTATTACAAACTAACTTAAACACTAAATAATACTTAAAATTAAATGGCTATGCCAGTTCATTTATATGTGAATATGTTGATTCATGACACTTGGCTATGAAATTTTGCGATAGTCGCGATAATCTAATATCTACCAATTCAACATTGGCTCGACAGTGTAGATCTAACGTGGAATGATGCCAAGGAAGATTCAAAATAAGCTTCAAGATTTTATTTTGTGCGATTTGCAATTGACTTATGTGACATTTGGCTATATCTGACCAGACAGGTGCACCGTAAAAAGTAACTGATTGGAAAATTGACCTATACAAGAACATTTTGTTTTCTATGCTTAGCCTCGAGTTTCTATTTATAAAGGGATATAACGTACGAAGAATATGTTTGAGCTTTTTGTTTGTATTGGTTATATGGTCCTTGAATGTAAGTCTTCTGTCCAGTGTAATACCCAAGTACCTGACATTTGGATCCCACTTTATATATTCCGAGCCCAATCTGATGTCTGTTATTGGCACGTAGATGTCCTTTCGTTTTTTTGTGAAGAATATAGCCTTGGTCTCTTCTGGGCAGACTAAAATTTTCCATTGAGAGAAATATGTACCTAAAGAGTAATATGCTGTTTGGAGGTTTCGAACTATATCTGCAGAAAGAATTCCACCACAGAGAATTGCTGTATCGTCCGCAAAGACCGAGGTAGTGCAATGAGGTGATATTGGGAGATCAGAGGTATATATATTATATAGAATAGGGGATAGGCATGAGCCTTGGGGACAGCCTGCTGAGATGTTAACTGCTGTGGATGAAGCATTACCTAAATATACAATAAAAGATCTGTTTTTTAGATAACTTTGGATTATCTTTATGGCCGCAGGTGGGAAATTAAGATGTAGCATTTTGTGTATTAGGCCGTCATGCCACACTGAATCAAATGCGGCTTTGATATCTAGCAGTACCATTCCCGTTGACATAGAACTAGAAAAATTATCTTTAATGATTTTTTTAATTCTATAACGGGGCTGAACAGTATTGTGTTCGCTTCTGAATCCAAACTGGTGACTTGGAAGGATATTATTGGATTCAACAAAATGAGTTAATTTATCTTGGATAACCTTCTCTAGTATTTTGCTGACTGCCGACAAAAGACTAATAGGTCTGTATGACGAGAGCAACTCGACAGGCTTATTTTGTTTTGGAATAGGAACAACTTTAGCACATTTCCAGACAGAAGGGAAATAGCATAGCTCTAGGCATTTATTGACTATGTAAGTAATAAACTTTATTCCCTTCGTAGGTAGGGTTTTTAAGCATATATTGTCAATTTTGTCAATACCTGGAGATTTCTTCTTCTTCAGCTTTTTCAGTATACCTTTTATGACGCTGGAGCTAACAAAGTAATCATTCAGCGGCTCTATAGATAATTGCGCGACTGAGAGGATTGAGGCATCGACAGCGGCTTTAGTTAGCGGATCACCGAGCCCAGCAGCTACGATATGATTTAGTCGAAAGGATTGAGCTAACGCCTCAGCCTTTTCTTCTTCTGTCGTGTGACTGATGTTATTATTGACTAATGTTGGGATATTTAAGTGTTTCTTTCTAACAATTTTGGAGAGTTTCCAAAAGGGGGAAGAACCTTTATCTAAGGCTGCAAGAGTGATATTCCAGGATTTATTTCTAAATTCTAGTATCGCTTTGGTGATTAGTTTATTTAACCATTTTAAAAGGATGAGATCGGACTGGTGACGATATCTCAGCCAGGTGCGCCGTCGTATGTTCCTACTCTTTATAAGGTTGAGAATGTTTTGCGGCAGTGGTTTTGGAGAAAATTTGATTTGTTTTTTTGGGATGCTAATATCTTTGGCTTCGCGAAGGACATCACTAAAAACATTAATCATATCATCAACATCTTCTGTGCGGCACATTAAGTTGGAGTTTAGGGGTGGAAGCGAATTTTTGACAAAACGGGCGAATCTTACCCAGTTTGCTCTTTTCACATCGAAGTAAAAGTAGTTTGCGGTAATGGCAGAATTGACAGATACCTCAAGCAGCACTGGAAGGTGATCAGAGTTTAATGTGTGTAGCACACGTGGGCTAGCTAGATAACCAGGACGATTAGTAAGGAAAAAATCTAAAGTTGAGGGTTGCCCGTGACTTCCTGCAGGGTAATATGTATGTTCAGAGGGATGCATTAGATAAAAGTTCCTGCAGTCTACCTTAGATTTGAGTAGATTACCCCACGAGTTCGCTCTAGAGCATCCCCACGACTGATGTCTGCAATTAAAATCCCCTCCCAGAATAAATGTTCCATTTGCACTACACAACTTATGTAAATCGGCCTGAAAAAGCTGTTTTTTCGAGGAATTTTCGCGGCCCCCCTGGGAAATAGCATGAGTAAATGGACGTCTCAGTGCCATCACTAATGAAGATTTTTACGCCAATTGTTTCAATAATTTTAGTATTTGGGAGAGGTAGCAAAGAGTGGCGGATATTTTTTTTAATAAAGATTGCTACCCCTCCTCCTCTACTAGTCGTACGGTCGTTTCTGTAACAGCTATAATTACGAATCTTGAGGAAAATACTATTTTTTAACCAGGTTTCAGATACAAGGCAGATGTCAATGTCGTTGTTAAACAGGAAGTGACAAAATTCTTCTTTTTTGTTTTGAATGCCCCTGGCATTCCACGCAATGATCTTTACTTTGTCTAACATTAAGAAAGAAATTTGAAGGCAAGTGAGGTTATTACCTCAAACTGATCAGTCTTGGATTTACAATTTCTGAGATTACTAATGAGCTCAAAAGTAAGACTTTTTAGCTCGTCTAGCGAAAAGAGATCACTGCTTAATTTTGGTTGCCTGGCCCAGGTTGTCTTTAATGGTTCAGAAATCTGTCCATTAAGAGTTGGGAAGGTTTTTACGCAGTTTAACTGTGGAGACTGTAATGGTGTTCTGACTACCCGTGCTTTGGTGACGCCCCTATCCCTTGACTTTATATAATTTATTCTGCCTGGGCACTCCACTGAATTAGACTTATGAGAGCCGTGACAATTTGCACACTTAACAGGTAACTTTTCTGAACACTCAATAGTTTTATGGTTTCCTGCGCAATTCATACAGTATGGTTTTACACTACAATAGGAAGATCCGTGCCCGAACATCTGGCAGTTATAGCACTGAGTCACGGTGTTTGGTCTGCGTCTTTGGTAGTCCCATTTGACTCTGATATGGTCAATGACAGAGTAGTTTTTCTTCAGCTCGTTTAGACTTGTTGATTTGTTGACAAAGTAAACTACATACAGCGAGAAATTACTATTGTTGGCTCGTTTCCTTTGAATAAACTTGACATCTGTACATTGAAGTCCCATTTGTGTAAGCTTGTTCCTAACCTCATCAGCCGGAGTGTCATCAAGTCCCGTAAGCACCGCTTTGTATGGTTTATTGTGTTTTTTTGCAAAGGAGAAAAACTCATTTTTAGAGTTTTGCAGGTGGGTGCAGACATTGGCAAAATCCACCTCTTCTTCGCAGTGTAATTTAACTCCAATAGAAATTTTTCTAATTGAGTAGTCTTTGACATTTAGTAAATTGCAAATACCATGCAGTTGTTCAGCAGTAGTTTTAAGTACCGTAATAGGAGGAATGTGAGTTTTGGTTTTGTTGACAATTACTTCCTCACAGTTGTCGTTATCAGTTTCGTCATCCAGCGCTTGTAACGGTTGATAATAGTTGTTGTTGCTCTGCCGTTGACCAGTGTCCGTTTTTGGAACTTTTCTGCTCTGTGTTGGCGACATAGCGGCGCCAGCCAGACTAACTGTTCTCTTAATTTTGTTTTTGTTTTAAGTCGTGCGTACAGTTTGGCAGATCACACCGAACTGACCGATTTTTTGCCTGTTTATCGTAAAAATTCAAAAGTCTACCTTTCTGACTGCTAATTGTCCTTACTTGTCTCATTCACTATTTATTGTTTTTCTTCTCTTCTTTCATAATCCCTGCGGTATATTCTGTTCTTTTGCTTTATTTTATGATGTACTATCCTATATTTATCATATCCGACATTTAAGGTAATTTACGTTAAAAATTTTATTTTCTATGATTGTAAAAAAAAAAATAAAATAAAAATAAAAAAAATTGGAATGATGTAGTTTGCTAGATTTCTGTAAAAAGTGTTTGTAAATCTAACTATAACTATGGCTTTGAATTTAAAGATTCAAGGCCAGATTTGCCATCGCATTGGATCATTGCAACCTATTGAAGATACACAGCACTAATTCTTGCAAATATACTTCATGGGCAATGAAGCAAATGCTTCACGAACATCATGCATTGGTCAATCTGTTCAAGACTGCTTTAGAGTGCATGCCAAGAGATGACTATAAAGAAGTAATCAGAGCAGATAAAAGACCAGCTCGAACACATGAACGCACATTTAATGCTCCAACAATCGATGAAGTAGCAATCCTGATTGTTGGTGAAAGCTTGGAAGCATGCGATATTGTGCTTACACGACGCAGTACTGGGCAACTACAAAGAATATCTGAAACGCACTGTTCATATGACGCTTTACAATACCCGCTGATTTTTTGGCAAGGAGACGATGGATATCACTTTAATATCAAAATGATGAAAATCCGATTAATAAATTAATCAGAGTGTATCCCAACCTGAACAACATAGCTTTCAACAATTTTTTACCTAGAAATAATGGATAGGGCAATGCAACGTTTGCCGGGCCAGCTAGTATATATATAAAAGAGAGTTGTGTAAAAGTGTACAGAGGCTTATAACTTGATATGTGCTGGACCAATTTTCATGGTTTTTGATTTGTTGGATTTGTCTCTGGCACGAGTAGGATAGTAGATCTTAAAAATACTGAAAAAATTTGACGAATACTTGAAAAACGCGGTTTTTTCCCTAAAGATTCAAATTTCCATTGATACTCAGTAGGCTTGATAACAGTGACAGTTTCGGTCCTGTATAGAAGTAAATAAACAAATGTAGTCAGTCAGTCTAAGGCACAGCCTCAGGCGAACCTGACTATTCATAAAAAAAAAGCACATTTGATAAAAGCAATACGCGTGCGTACAAAAGCTAAATATCTCGAAAGTTCAGGTATTTTTTTGTCTCAAACATAAATTTGTGTAAATTATTTATATTTATATTTCTCGATTGTTTTATGTGGTTTTGTGCGAGGGCATATTCAGTGTTACTATTGATAAAAATGCCGCGTCCTAGAAGATCTAATCTTTCCCGGCGGACCCATAATGCAATTAGGCATCGGAATATCGCGTGTCAATTATCTGACGAAGAACGAGAAATCGCCCGAGAAAGGAGCCGCGTTAGTACCCAGTAAAGAAGGGCCTTAATTCATACTTCTCAAAGAGAGGCAGCCCGTGAAACGGCAATAAGAAATGGTTCAAGGATTGATTTTAATCGAGCAGCGTTTCGATATGATTGCACCATTGACTACAGCTTGAATCGTTTAGTTTGCATTGGTCCAATGGACGTTGTTTACCAGCATTGTGGCACATTGAAGTTTGCTGGTGAAACGCCCGGTTTGTGCTGCCTTAGTGGTAAAGTGCCATTGCCATTAGTGGTCCCGCCACCAGAGCCATTGCGTTCCCTGCTTTATGGCGAAACACTAGAATCACGACATTTTAAAATAAAGATGTGGATGACCTTAATTTTAAATTCAAAATAAAATCGTTATTACTCTGTATTCATTCAAATCTATCGACTGTGTAACAAACGAAGAAGAAGCCACTAATTATCCAACTGAATTTTTGAACTCCTTGGATGTGCCTGGTTTACCACCGCACAATTTACAACTGAAGGTTGGCTCGGTAGTTATCATGCTTAGAAATTTAAACCAGCCAAAACTGTGCAATGGAACGTGTTTGGTGATAAAAAAACTGATGAGCAATGTGATTCACGCGTCGATACTCAAAGGAAAATTTAAAGATGAAGAAGTTCTTATTCCTAGGATTCCGATGATCTCAACAGATATGCCCTTTGAATTTAAACGAATTCAATTCCCCCTTCGTCTTGCCTTCGCCATGACGATCAACAAATCACAGGGCCAATCTTTGACTATTTGTGGCCTCAATCTGGAAAATGCGTGTTTTTCTCATGGTCAATTGTACGTGGCATGCTCACGTGTTGGCAAACCATCCGCAATATTTGTTCTTGCACCCGACCAAAAAACGAAGAATGTCGTTTACCACAAGGTGCTTGAATGAAAATCCGATTAATAAATTAATCAGAGTGTATCCCAACCTGAACAACATAGCTTTCAACAATGCAACGTTGCCGGGCCAGCTAGTAATATATATAAAATTTTATTTTTTAAATAATAATAGCTAACACATATCTGTCAAATTTTCAATTTTCCATATATTTTTCCGATTGTTGGATTGAAAAACTACTGTTATTTTTAAATGAGTTAGAGTTAAAATAATAATAAAAATAAGTATTCGAGAAAATGTACGGGTTTTTTCAATCCAAATATGATTTCATTGTACTTTTAAACTTCAAATAAATATAATTCCACGGTATTCTATATATCGCCAACTGCAAATACTTTAGGGCTGCCATAAAAACGACGATTCGATGATATGCGGAAATACCTACAAAAACACCGAAAACATCGCCGCATCGATATCACAATATCGATATCATTGATGCCAAGACCTGTCCTGTAAATTTATTAATTTTATTAACATATAGATGGTAAATATTAAATTTTTGGTCGAATTATCTTAAACGGAGTGCTAAATATTGTATGTACAATAAAAAAACAATAAAAAACACACTTTAAATCGTCAGAGTCGAGCTGGTTGCATTTGACGACGTAAAAAGAGAAGCACGCGCAGGGAGCCGTCTGCTACTGGCGTATCAGCTGCTTCAGTGTGTGGTTGAGATGGCGAAAACAACCACGATACCGATAGCAAGTTCATACCAAGTTCTCATCCAATGTGCTGCCGGTGTTTTTAATACGAACAAGATATGCTGAAAACGTTTTTTTACATGCAATTATTTTTAGTGCGGACGATATATAAACCAACATAAACATTAGATGTATTGCATTGCATAAATTAACTCAAGCATGCAACCATATTATTTACTTCTACTATAATTAATGGAAATGTATGTATATATATACATATATATAGATAATTATTTTGTGTCCTATACACTCCGTGAAAATTTCTCCAAAGATTTAATTTTTTTTCTCTTGCCGGGACTCGGATCTGTGCTAAGTTTTTATTCAGGACACACCTTTATTGCTGATTAGGTATGGCGGGCATGAATAAAAATTTACCGGACATAGTTGACTCTGAAAAATTAAACATACGAAATTTTAAAATATACAAATCGTTGCTGTTTCCTAATTTTAGTTTATATATTTTAGCTACATATGTATGTCAATGTTGCCGTAATATAATGTTACAATAACTGCCTTGCGCTGAGGGACAGTGGTAAGTATACATTCTTACATATTAAATATTGCTGTATTTTAACTTTGTTTAATTATTTTTTGATCCACAGCAAGAAATTCGTGTAGTAACTATATATAGATATATAAGCCAAATCGAAATTTTGCCGTTTTTACTTTGGTAAAACAGGTAAATTTTTGGTACTTTGATCACACAAGTCATGCCACGAGGTAAACGTAGAGCTCCAGAAATCGGTGACAATATGGATGGCCAATCAAAAAGAGCACGCACCAGCTACATAACTATAGCGACACAACAAAGCAGCAGGTGAGTGTCGCCACAATTTATTTAGAATTAATTATAAAAAAGCTTTAACTGACGGAATGATTCAATGGTAAGACTGCTTAAGCTGAAAAATTAGAGTAGCACTTTTTTTTAAATATAGTTTGACCAACGATTTTTTACGTTTAGAAGTTATTGGAAGATTAAATTTCCTAACTGGTTAGACCTCTAGACAGAAATATGGGTTGTTTTCAAAATCATAAAGGTTTAATTGTAAGCCTAATAACTGATAAATTGGAAATTTAATAATAATCTAAAGTTTGTCCGAAGATAATATTCTAACAAAAATAATAAATATTTGTTATTAGCTTCTCTGATATCTATTTTAAAGAAGGATTTCTAATTTTATTTTCAAAATTTAACTAACTAATGTCTTAATGCAAACTGGTATTTAGAATCTTCATTTTTCATATCTGATAAATCGAGTATTTATTTACCACATTTCTTACCTTCCCTGGTATTTTTTAGAGCAAATGCCAAATGGGGTATAGTATAGAATTGTTTTAAGATAGTGTTTTATTATGCATATAACCATATAAGAAGAAGTCGTATTAGATAACAAAACTATAAGTCGAAACGATGTATGTAAGATCAACAAAACTATCTGATAACTGAAAATTAAGCGAATAGCGTATAAATCAGTTTATTGTGATTGGGAGATATACTGCAATTCTTAGATACACATAGGGTCTTTATTGTTTTTACCATATATATTTATAAATAAATCTTCGTTGAGATGACGGGTATCAGGTCCCTCTTCATTTTATTTATTTATTTTTTTGTTAATTGTTTATTTATTTATGTCTTCATGAGTTCGCTTATAGATGAAAAGAATCGAATTTAATTATGGAATTGTTAAGTAGTTTATGTATATTTATTCAAGTTAATTAATAAATGAATTTATTTATTTAATTTAATTTAATTATCCTATACATATAAATTAATATATATGTGTGTGTTTATGAACTATTAGTTAAGAGATTATTAAAAAGAAAGTTAAATATTTATATCTAAAGATCATATATCTTTATTTTAGTGGTGCAATTTTTTATTCATTTTAATGTGCCCAACATATAGAATAATTTATTTTGTATTATGCAACCGGTATACTAAAAAATTTGACGGGTTTAATTCATAATTTTGTAACTTGAATCTGATTAGTTTCCTTATTTTTATAGATTGGCACAAATTTCTATATTTTTATGTGGTATATATAGGAGGTCTATCTATTTCAGTTTCCTTCCTTAAATTTTGCATGTGTAATAAACAGAGTTTTGCTTTTACATATTTGAAAGTTTTCAATAGGTTTGCAATAAGTTTTGGTTAGTTATGTAAATATATACTCGCATATATTTAACAAATGCACATGAGCGTAATTATAATAAATATAATATTTAACATTTCACATAATATTAGCTATATGGAAGACATTTGCATTTATTTATATATATATATAATTTTGTAACAATTATGTTTGTGGTTCCGATGACTCACAATTTCCTTTACCTTTAAGAACATGATAATATAGTTGGATACTTCAATACTGGCTACAACAAATAACAGAAAGGTATGATTCGAAAAGAATTAAGTTAATTGTAGTACATTGAGGCTTGGTTTACTCCATCGACCCGTACTGAACCTTCTTGACTTTGAAATACCTGAAAAATTGAATTAGTATAACTATTAAAAATTTGGAATTTAAACTTTGTAAATTTGTAGTAAGGGCTATTTTATCTATAAATACTCAACTATTTTATACTCGTATTGCATTAAGCTTAGTTAGACAAATTTTGAATTACTCACCGCCAACCACCGTAGCCCGAAATAGTCAATAGAACCGCAATGGCCAGTGCTGTACCTACGGCTAAGGGTGCCGTTTCGTCGCGATAGGATCCGGTGGCACTACAGTGGAAGGATGGTCCCCACTTGCCGCTCTCCTTGAACATAAAGCTTTGCATATGCATGTCGCGCAAGTAAAGACGCGCAATATGACCAGACTGATCGCCAGAATCGTGAGGGGCATACAAAATCACAGTTTGTTCCTTGTCACAAAGGTACGACTTGCCCACGGGCGTTGGAAAATACATGGGCGTTTGTGCTGGAGAGGTCAATTTCACATTCAAATTGGGACGGTCAGGATGTTCGAATAATGGATTCGATGAGGAGTATGTTAGCTCAAAAACGTTGATGTACCACCCCTCGCCTCCTGACGACTATGCATGTGTGTGTATAGTAGAAATTAATTTTAGTTAACCTCTGACATTTTGGTCCCATTGGCAAACGCTTAGCCCCTTACCTTTTTGAAAGTCATGGACAGCGAAAAGCCCTTGAAGTCCATGGTCAATATTTCCAAATTCGTATTGTCACACTCGCCGCTCAAGACTGGATTATCCGGCATATATAGGTCTGCCTCCACATCCTCGTTCAACTTATTCCGATATCGGATACTTATTAAACCATCTACTTGCATAAGAATGCAGGTGATGCCATTAGTAGCATTTAAGCGATAAATCGAAGTAGTGGCATCATGATTCATCGAAGATGCCTGCAAGAGTATTTGACACTTGAAAAAAAACCTGAAATGGGTGAGGATGCTCATCCCTTACCGATGGCGATTTAGTAGTATATTTAGAAACTCTCGGCGTTTTCGTTGTAAAGGCGCTGAGCTGAAGGCCTTGAGCGCTGTTCGCTGTGAAAAAATATGAGTTTAACTCTAAATTGCAATTTTTGTTCCTCTAAGTCATTGTGTCAGCAGTGTGATGTGTCCTCCGTGCTATTGATTTTTTCCCACCCATTCATTCCCTTAAGCAAAGGGGTGTTTTAACAACTCACCAAGTAACGCGAATAGTATGCAACAGATAATGTTGAATACATATCCATTGACACACTTCAAAGCACGGTTATTTTTACGAAATTGTAGCATTTTTTTATTTATTAACAAAAACCTTTTAAGGGTATTATTACGTACGATTCCTTAATTCGATAGAAACGAAGTGTCTCGCTTGCAGTCGTGCGCACAACTACGGCTTGAATGCTTATTCATCAGCATTCTGCTCCGCGCCTATTTCACGAGTTCTCAGCTGCCATATATTGACATAAAATTCATTCAATTCTCGCTCTCAATTCACAATCCAGCGCGCAGCCGCCGGAACTCAGTTAATAACAAGAGTGCTCTAGTAGAGAGTGCTCGACTGGGAGATACCCCAAACCCTGCATAAACTGATAGAACTGATACTCCAACAATTCAGTACTTTTTTATGCACACATACAAAGTCATGCGTTCCGCCAACTGCACAGATAGCAGCGACGGCGTTTGAGTTGCGCTACAGTGTGGACTATGTTATGAGACTGAAAAAGTCTCTATTATATCTTCCGATATCGCGGCGTTCATGCGAACAGCCAGACATGGTTATATAGATTCAGAAGTGTGGCAGATCGAGTTGGTTATTCAATCATATCTCCTACGCCTTTCGAGATACAGATTCCAAAGTTTAAATTAAAATTCGTGTGTTTTGGTCGGATTTTGGTTCAAATCCAGCCGCCATCCCTAAATTCATGATTTCGAAGTTTTATCAAGATGCGCATGTGCTGTTTTTCTTATACCCAGAACCCTTTGAAAATAAGAAATCAGGGTATAATTGTTTTCTTAAAAGTATGTAACAGGCAGAAGGAGGCGTGACCGACTCCACAAAGTAAATATATTCTTGATCAGGGCGACGATCTGAGTAGATTTAACCCTGTCCGTCCGCCCGTCCGTATGTATGAACGCATCGATATCAGAAGATATAAGAGCTGGAGACCTAAAATTTTTTCCTTGGTCCGCGCATATCGAATTTTTCTCAAAAAATCGAGAAGTACTGCCAATATTTTGTTATCGATTAAACAATTATCGAAAACTAGTTATTTAATTATATCTCCTAGACTTATTTAACCCCCTCCTCTATATCCACCCCCTCAAAGCCGTATTTCAAGTACGCACGCATTTCAATGTTATTATCACGATCCACAAGTTTCATGGAGATAGTCCATCGAAAAGTTATTAAACAATTAATTTCTCATAGTAAGCCCACACTGCAGTCAATTCGTGTTTATGCGTGCATGCCTATGTGTGTCTGTGTAGGTATTTCTTGTGTAAGCAGAAAGACACGAAGAATTACTGAAACATCAATTCTTAGAAGGGTTCAAGGTATCTCATAGTCGAGGAGTCTCGATTAGAGCAGTGTTAATTGTTTTTAAAATCGTCTTCCCCATTTGGACTTCTTTTTTAGTGAATATTTTTATATTTTTTGTTAATTTGGAATTAAAGCTGATGAGGTATTTCAAAGAAATATCTACATTATTCTTCGTAACCACTTGAATTTTGATGAGATCACTTATTTCATGTGTGCTTGTACATAATTTAACAAAAACTACGATCAAAAAGTGGTTACTGTTATAAAAAAAATACTTTAAAAATATTCTCAGAAATACATATGTATGTATGTATAATATAATGACCTTCATTTTATATATATATATGTATGTATATTTAAATATCTTCGAATGTTGTTTCGGCCTCTTTTTGATTGCATTGGCATCACCATTAAGTTTACTATTGCTATTTTTAGTTGGCAACACTAAGAAAATTAAAACATTGAATAATACGTCAACATCGGAGCGATTGCTCAAGAAAATTATAGTTAAAAATAAATAAAATAGCATAAATATATGTGCTTAAATGTTTTATGGCTAAGTATACTATTAACAATTCATTTAATAATACTAATAACATAGATAATTATATTGATAACATTGTTGTTTTTAACCAGACGCCATATAAGAGCAGAAGACGGCTTTAGCCAGAAACGCTGCCTCGCCTGGTTCCACGAATACACCACGCCCGATGAGCCTGATACACTGGGTGAGTAAAACAAAAGTTGGTGATCTCAAAAGGAAAACAACATAAACACTCGTATTTATAGGACCAGATGGCATGGAGAAATTCTGTGAAGATATTGGCGTTGAGCCCGAGAATATTGTGATGCTTGTGCTCGCCTACAAAATGGGTGCCACACAGATGGGATTCTTCAGTCAGCAAGAGTGGTTAAAAGGTCTCACGGATCTCGAATGTGATTCGACAGCAAAAATGGTTGTGAAACTGGACTATCTGCGCAGCATACTCAACGATCCCAACTCCTTCAAGAGTATATACCGATACGCCTATGATTTTGCCAAGGTAAATTAATAATAATCTTGCAAGCATAAATATACACACCAATTTCTTATGCAGGACTCGGATCAGCGAAGCATGGATATTCTGACGGCTAAAGCGATGCTACAATTACTTCTGGGCAAGCATTGGACACTGTATCCACAATTTGCGCAATTCCTAGAGCAATCCAAGTACAAGGTTATTAATAAGGATCAATGGTGTAATATACTCGAGTTTTCGCGCACAATCTGTATTGATTTGTCAAACTATGATATTGATGGAGCATGTACGTAACAGTTAATACGCTCGATAAGCATACCATGTTTTGTTATCATTTCCAATTTTAGGGCCCGTCATGCTGGATGAATTTGTGGAATGGCTGCGTTTGCAACGCGGGCTAGTCGTTGGGAGCTCGGGATCCAGCTGAGAGTGCCTGGATCGGATAATTTTAGTTCAACTTTAGAAATTCTGTAGTGTCTATCATGAGACGATCGGCGATACACACACAACGACATGCAAAACGCAAAGCCCTCCTCCATTGCACACGCTAACTCTGACACAAACATACGTACACCAAGAAAGAGACACAAGGCACTTGAGACTGCGTAAAACTTTCAAAAAAAAAAAAGAAGAAAAACCAACTATAAAACAACACTATTGATATATATATATATATATAATTAATGTAATAATTTAATTGTAAACATTTAAAAAACAATCTACATAAAGTGTTACTTTTAAGGCATCACTGAAACTGGTAATAGACAACAGTTTTACAGTAAGCTCATTTCGAAACCATCGTAAAAGCGTCGCAATAACCTAAAACTGAACGAATGCCAATATACAAGTAACAAAAATATTATACGATTCAAGCATACATACATATGTATGTATTTCTAAGTGGCATAGTCAAACTTATATCCGTAGTTAAAAAACTTAAGGGTCTTCTCGCTTTTTGAGGAAGTGGATAAGCAAGCAGGAGCTTTTTGGAGATCATAATATCCAATAAACTTATTGAAATACAGCTTGCTGATTTTCAATGTATTCGGTTAGGCCCTACTTATTCTCTAAAATCAACTGAAGCTATTTAACGATTTTAGTTATTAATGGATTCTCGAGACGGGAAATCAACCTAATTTATCGTTGCATTTAGGGCTCACATTTTCTTATTCAGCTACATTAATTAATATAATTGAATGAATATTGTCGACAAATAAAATCTATTTTTATCGAAAATCCCTCTTCATTAGTTGCAATTTGCAACCTCTCTCGGATGGTGCTGCCAGATCTATAAATTGGTTGCTGCAGTGAGAGGCCAGATATTTCAATACATAGTATTTTTCGCTCAATTGTTAAAGTATAAAAGTTAAAAAATTACATAATTATTATTATTATTATAGTATTAAAGTAGATCTCTTGATGCTTTTATGCAACTCCCACAAATTTAGATTTGAATAAAGTCCAAAAACCATAGTTTTATGCTGGCTATACATATAATTTAAATTTTAACGTTTACGCGTGCTTTTTGTGAATATTTTCCAGCACTGGCCATGCAGTGCTGCTCAAAACATGTTATCGTTTGAGACTTAGTGACGCCGACGAACTACTCAAACTGGCATTCAAATAGAATAAACTGTTTCGGCGCGTTCTACACTTTGTGCCTGTAATTCGTGTCGGCCTGGGTATCTCGTTTTAGATCATTGTTAGTGTGAATATTTTATCATATTTTTTAATATACTTCGGGGTAAATATTTACGTACCGTGCACAAAAATAATTAAATCTCAGAAAACAAAAGAAGCAAGCAGGCGGAGCAGATATAGAAAAAATAAAATAAACGAGTCAGTCCAAAAAGACAAAACTGAAAAAATGGCCGCAAAGCCCGAGGACAAGAGCACGGATATACCTGATCGTCTTTTTGACTCTAATCACCGTAAGACCTATAAGCGTATGCGCTTTTTCGGTAAGGTAAGTGCTAAGTTTGTCTCGCAGACATTTTGTATAAAAATAGAGGGAAAACATGCGGTGGCCGTCCTACATAGAGGCGATTGCATCGTTTGCCCTGGACATTTTGTTCCTGTTGTTTTCGCGATATGCAGTTATGTATGCATGCATGTATGTGTGCAGGTTGTGTATTCAGACACACATGTATATAGCTACGAACAGAAATTAGTGTTGTCAAACACTGCAAGTAACCAGTTGGCTGGTTGCAAACAACCAGTTGGCTGTTTTGGCGCGTACTACACAATAAATGAATGTATGCATGTATGTATGTACATATGTTCATATATTCAGCTAATATATGTATTTGAAATATTTCTGATAATTTTAAAATACAATTTTCAGGGCGGATTTGCTAAATGTTATGAAATAATTGATGTGGAGACCGACGATGTGTTTGCCGGCAAGATTGTATCCAAGAAGCTTATGATAAAGCACAACCAGAAGGAGAAGACGGCTCAGGAAATAACTATTCACCGCAGTCTAAACCATCCAAATATTGTAAAATTTCACAGCTATTTTGAAGATGTTCAGAACATCTATATTGTGCTGGAGCTGTGCAAGAAACGCGTAAGTATTATGAATTGATAAAGGCGTGCATGTATTATTAATTTTTTTTCAACATATTGCTTTGTAGTCAATGATGGAGTTGCATAAGCGCCGTAAGAGTATTACAGAGTTTGAAACCCGCTATTACATATACCAGATAATACAGGGTGTCAAGTATCTTCACGACAATCGCATCATTCATCGTGATCTAAAGTTGGGCAATCTATTTCTAAATGACATGTTGCATGTGAAGATTGGAGATTTTGGACTAGCAACTCGTATTGAGTATGAGGGTGAACGCAAGAAAACCCTTTGCGGCACTCCTAACTATATTGCACCAGAGATTCTGACAAAGAAGGGTCACTCGTTTGAAGTGGACATTTGGTCCATTGGATGCGTTATGTATACGTTGTTGGTTGGTCAGCCGCCTTTCGAAACAAAAACATTAAAAGACACTTACTCAAAAATAAAAAAATGCGAGTACCGCGTGCCGAGCTACTTAAGAAAACCGGCTGCGGATATGGTCATTGCAATGCTGCAACCTAATCCAGAAAGTCGTCCTACAATAGGACAGCTCTTGAATTTTGAGTTTCTTAAGGCCACACAAGTGCCAGTGTTTTTGCCCAGTTCTTGTTTAACAATGGCTCCACGTATCGGCATTAACGATACTATAGAGGATCCTACTCAGCGTAAGCCGCTGGCGGAATACAATGGTCTGCGAGATGATACTCGTTTAGAGTCGACGTTCTTAAAGAATAATTTACACGACGCTATTACAGCGTCGGCTCAGGTTTGTCGTCATAATGAAGACTATCGTAGCGATATAGAGAGCTTGCATCAGCAGCTGACGAAGCTTATTAATGATAAGGTATGCAGAATGAGGTTAAATATCAAATATATAAATATAAATATGCTTCCTCTTCATTTTAAAAGCCGCGTTTACTGCAAGGAAATCTTGGCGATGAGAATACCGATCCTGCTGCCCAGCCGTTATTTTGGATATCAAAGTGGGTCGACTATAGCGATAAATACGGTTTTGGCTATCAACTGTGTGATGAGGGCATCGGAGTTATGTTCAATGACACCACAAAACTCATTTTGTTGCCTAATCAACTAAACGTGCATTTTATTGATAAGGAGGGTAAAGAATCTTACATGACTACGACAGATTACTGCAAGTCTCTGGATAAAAAGATGAAACTGCTGTCATATTTTAAACGTTATATGACTGAGCATCTGGTAAAGGCAGGGGCCAATAATGTTCCTGATGAAAATGATCAAATTTCTCGAATGCCTCATCTTCATTCCTGGTTTCGGACGACTTGTGCAGTGGTTATGCATTTAACCAATGGCTCTGTTCAGGTACTAACCATAAACTTTCAACTTAAATTACAGAACAAAATTTTATATGTATTATTTTTGTTTCTTGCTTAGCTTAACTTTTCAGATCATATGAAAATAATTTTATGCCCCCGTATGAGTGCCATCACCTACATGGATCATGAGAAAAATTTTCGCACATATCGATTTTCAACTATCGCACAAAACGGAGTTTCCAAGGATCTATACCAAAAGATACGTTATGCTCATGAGAAACTCAGGAAAATGCTTGAGAAGATGTTTGTTTGAGCATAAAAGGAAATTACTACAGCCGGCTGATTCATATATTCATTCTCGTTACGTTTATGTCTAGTTAAACAGAATACATTAATTTTCTATATAGCGCGCAAAGCAAAAAATCTATTCCTCCATGTTCGATATACTCCAAATTCCCGTTGCTGTTTAAATTAGTCGCTTGTTTATTTATTAAGTTATATATTCAGTTTTTTTCCGCTAAGATATTAGCTTTTGTAATAAATGTTTTCATAATTTTTAATATATAAAGAAAGTAATAATGATATAAAATGATCAGAATCAGCATATTTATTTTGTTTTCTTTTAGGTAAATCGATTGTTATCGGTATTTAGATACTGCATTGCTTTTTAATACTGATAATCGAGAGAGTACGAAACTCCGAGATATTTTTTAAGTGCAAAATAAAATGATTTGGAAGTGTTGTCTAAGAAATATTTATTTCCATTGCGTCACATGTCATTCTTGATTGTATTTTATTAAGTATATTTAAAGAAAGGGAAATAATATGTATTTTGTAAGTAACACTTTGGTCACACTGGATGGCATAGCAGTGTGACCAAAGTGTTACTTACAAAATACATATCGTATTGATTTTATTTTCAGCAAGGTCCAAGTCGAATTTGTGCAGAATATCTGAAAGCCACCGAATCGTTATCTAAATGCAATTTAGTGAACAAAATATCCACAAGAACAATAATGGGAGACAATGAGCAGAAGGCCCTTCAGCTTATGGCTGAGGCGGAAAAGAAGCTGACACAACAAAAGGGTTTTCTCGGCTCGCTTTTTGGGTGAGTAATGTGGACTACTATCGAGCGTATTCATTATTATTTTCTGCGCTAGAAGACATAATGTAGGTATTTCGTTTTAATTATTGCATTTAGGAACATTCGAATGCGATTCCCTAAAGTATGTACCACGCATGAGCATATATACATATACTTAGATGTATGTATCTGCCCATACAGAAATATTGATGCCTGAAAGGAAAATTTATTTGTATTAAACTTTAGATATATATTAATGTGGATTAAAATATGATTCAAAAGTATGAAATTTAGATATTAAAATATTTGTTTGTTTTATTATTATTATTATTATTATTATTATTATTATTATTATTATTATTATTATTATTATTATTATTATTATTATTTTTTTTTTTAATTTTAATTTTTATTTATAAGCTAATCATGTAATTATTGTGCATTCCATATTTATGCAGACATTAGAACTATTAATTAACACACTAGGGAAACTACAAAACTATAAGAAAATATTGATCCTTATTATTACGTGATAGGCCCGATTAAGTATGGGCTAATATATGGTCATAAGTGCGAGTGATATCCATTGTTATAGTTGTCTATTGTTATAAATCATTGCAGTGGTTCCAATAAAATTGAAGATGCTATTGAGTGCTATCAGCGAGCTGGCAATATGTTTAAAATGTCGAAGAACTGGAGTAAAGCCGGTGAATGCTTCTGTGAGGCAGCCACTCTCCATGGACGAGCTGGCAGCCGCCACGATGCAGGCACTTGCTACGTGGACGCTTCGAATTGCTACAAGAAGGTTGACGTGGAAAGCGCCGTCAACTGTTTGATGAAGTCCATAGACATTTACACCGATATGGGACGCTTTACAATGGCAGCCAAGCATCATCAGAGCATTGCTGAAATGTATGAAAGTGACCCAGCTACTCTGGTAAGCAACTATTATATATGTGCATTTATAACACAGACTAGAAAGTAATTAATTTGTAATTTATCTGGTGACGTGAAGGCCAAAGCCATTCAACACTATGAACAAGCGGCAGATTATTTTAAGGGCGAAGAGTCAGTTA